AGGGCCTATATAACGCCTACTACGAGTACTCTATAGAATATCTATAGCGAGTAGTACTATCCGGAACGCGTAGGATAAGCTAACTATCATCTATAACGCCTATAATAGGTCTAATTTAGAACGCTTACAATACTGAGTACTATTAAGAAGGCGTATAGTAAGTCTGATCCGGAGCGCTACCTGTTAGTACTACTATCTATAACGCCTATACTAAGTTTTATTTAAAACGCGCTATATAGTAATTCTAATCCGAAACGCTTATACTAAGTCTTATCCGGAACGCGTAGAGTAAGTACTATCCGGAACGCGTATAGTAGGTCTAATTTAGAACGGTAATAGTAAGTACTATTACGAACGCTTATAGTAAGTAGTACTTTCTAAAATACCTATAGCAAGTACTATTTATAATACTTAGAGCAAGTTATATCCGAAACGCTTATAGTAAATACTACTAAAAACGCCTATAGCGAGTAGTAATACTCGAAACGCCTATAGCGGTAACTATCTAAGATATCTATAGCGAGTAGTACTATCCGGAACGCGTAGGACAAGCCTTATTTTAAACGCCCAGTATAGTTCGTCCTATATAAACCGGAACGCGTATAGCAAGTCTAATAATCTAATCCGAAACGCCTACAGAAAGTCTTGTCCGGAATATATAAAGCAAGTCTAAGTTCAATCTAAGACTAAGTACTTATACTAAGTACTACCCGGAAGGCCTATAGCGAGTAGTACTATCCGGAACGCTTATAGCAAACACTATCTAAAACGCCTATAGCAAACAGCATTCGAACTACTTAGAGCGAGTAGCCTATATAGCACCTACTACGAGTACCTTATAAAACGCCTATAGCGAGCACTCTATATAATACGGTATATCTATAGCAGTAGTACTATCCGGAACGCGTAGGACAGGCCTCATTTTAAACGCTTAGTATAGTTAGTTCTATGTAAACCGGTACGCGTATAGCAAGTCTAATCCGAAACGCTTATAGAAAGTCTTATCTGAAATGTATAGAGCAAGTCTAACTATCTAAGTCTAATCCGAAACTAAATACTTATATCAAGTACTATCCGGAAGGCTTATAGCGAGTAGTACTATCCGGATTGCGTATAGTAAGTCTAATCCGGAGCGCTAATAGCAAGTACTATTAAGAACGCTTATAGCAAGTAGTACTATTAAATTACCTAAAGTAAGTACTATTTAGAATACTTATAGCAAGTTATATCCGAAACGCTTATAGTAAATACTACTAAACCCGATTATAGCGAGTAGTGATATTCGAAACGCTTATAGCGGCAACCGTCTAAGATATCTATAGCGAGTAGTACTATCCGGAATGCCTATAGCAAATACTATCTAAAACGCCTATAGTTTAATAGTATTCGAACTATTTATAGCGAGCACCTTATACAACGCCTACTACGAGTACCCTACAAAACGCCTATAGCGAGTACTCTATAGAATATCTGTAGCGAGTAGCACCATCCGGAAGGCGTAGGATAAGCCAACTATCATCTATAACGCCTATAAAAAGTCTAATTTAGAACGCCTACAACACCAAGCACTATCTAGAATATGAAGGTCCACCCAAAACGCGCTATATAGCAATTCTAATCCGAAATGCCTACACCAAGTCTTATCCGAAACGCGTAGAGTAAGACTATCCGGAACGCTAACAGCAAGTACTACTAAGAACGCTTATAGCAAGTAGGACTATCTAAAGTACCTACAGCAAGTGCTATTTAGAACACGTTTAGCAAGTCTAATCCGAAACGCCTATAGCAAATACTACTAAAAGCGCTTATAGCGAGTAGTAATATTCGAAACGCTTGTAGCGGTAACTATATCATCCGAGATATCTATAGCAAGTAGTACTATCCGGAACGCTTATAGCAAACACTATCTAAAACGCCTATAGCAAACAGTATTTTAACTACCTATAGCGAGTACCCTATATAACGCCTGCTACGAGTACCTTAGAGAACGCCTATAGCGAGCACTCTATAGAATACCTATAGCAAGTAGTACTGTCCGGAACGCGTAGGACAAGCCTTATTTTAAACGCTTAGTATAGTTAGTCCGATATAAACCGGAACGCGTATAGCAAGTCTAATCCGAAGTACTGCTAAGAACGCTTATAGCAAGTAGTACTATCTAAAATACCTATAGTAAGTACTGTTTAGAATACTAATAGCAAGTTATATCGGAAGCGCTTATAGTAAATACTACTAAAAACGCTTATAGCGAGTAGTAACATTCGAAACGCTTATAGCGGTAACTATTTAAGATATCTATAGCGAGCAGTACTATCCGGATCGCCTATAGTAAAGACTATCTAAAACGCCTAAAGCTAAACAGTATTCGAACTACCTATAGCGAGTACCCTATATAACGCCTACTACGAGTACTCTACAAATATAGGAATTTCAATTTAGAACACTTATAATCCTAAGTACTATTTGGAACGTATATAGTAAGTCTAATCCGGAGCGCTAACAGTTAGTACTACTATCTATAGCGCCTATACTAAGTTTTATTTAAAACGCGCTATATAGTAATTCTAATCCGGAACGCTTCTACTAAGTCTAATCCGGAACGCGTAGCGTAAGCACTATCCGGAACGTATATAGCAAGTCTAATTCGCAACGCTAATAGCAAGTACTATTAAAATTTAAGCACGCTTATAGCAAGCAGTACTACCTAAAGTGCCTATAGTAAGTACTATTTAGAATACTTATAGCAAGAAGTACTATATTATATCCGAAACGCTTATAGTAAATACTATTTCAAACGCCTATAGGAAATAGTATTCGAACTACCTATAGTAAGTACCCTATATAACGCCTACTACGAGTATCCTATAGGGCGCCTATAGCGAGTACTCTATAGAATATCTATAGCGAGTAGTACTATCCGGAACGCGTAGGACAAGCCTTATTTTACACGCTTAGTATAGTATAAACCGGAAGGCGTATAGCAAGTCTAATCCGAAACGCTTATAGAACGTCTTATCCGGAATGTATAAAGTAAGTCTAAGTCTAATCCGAAACTAAATACTCACACAAAGCACTATCCGGAAGGCCTATAGCGAGTAGTACTATCCGGCTATCTCCGTTTCAGCCCCTTCCTAGTTAAACGCAAGTAGAGGCAGGCACAACAAGCACCTTCTACGACCGGACTTTTAACTGAATAGTACCTGCTTACTCTCCTTGCGTTAGCAAGGGTCTAAGGACAAAAGTTAATAGGCCTATATACTGTTCCTTACAAAATTCAGACATGTCTCGCTAACGCTATATAATTCTTCAAACTAGAAGACAAGATAGAACAGTACAATGCAAGGCATATCCGACTTATAGAAAGAAAATCGAAGAGGTGGATCTAGAGAGACTCGAGCGCCAAGTTAGCTGTCTATTCTGTTTAGATTGCGCCCGGGCTTCTATATAGCTAGTAGCTAGGTTTATAGCTAGCCAGCCCTCGAAGATTATAGTACAATCAATATATACGCCTACTTTCTAGTAATACCCGGAGCTGTCTTATTAGCTAATTCTTATAGCCCTCTTATGCTTTGAAGCCTCCTAAGAATGTAGTATTACCGCCTTATAAAGGCAATCCGGACGCTATTCGCATAGCGTTTCTTACGGAGTAGTGTTTTGTAGTTTTTATTTGCGTAGCTAAAGAGATGCAGTATCCTTTGTATAAGCAAAGATCTTCTCTATATCCTTCCGTAGGTGCGATTCTAATATGACTTTTAATAAAAATAGGCCGTTATTGTGCTATTTAACCCATTCTATAGGTGCATAACGCTAGAATAGCTGCTTTGCGACATTTGTCCTTAGGCTCTTTATAGAAGACTTCTTCAAGCCGCTAGACTAGATATAGAAGAAAGTAATAGCAACTAAGATGATATAGAAGGTGTATACAGAGCGGAAGAAGTTACTATAAAGAGCCTAAGAAGGAGGTAGCTATCCGGAACGCTTATAGCAAATACTATCTAAAACGCCTATAGTTAAATAGCATTCGAACTATCTATAGCGAGTACCCTATATAACGCCTATAGCGAGTACTCTATAGAATATCTATAGCGAGTAGTACTATCCGGAACGCGTAGGATAAGCTAACCATTATCTATAACGCCTACAACAGGTCTAATTTAGAACGCTTATAATACTAAGTACTGTTTAGAACGCGTATAGTAAGTCTAATAACTCTAATCCGGAGCGCTAATAGTTAGTACTACTATCTATAACGCCTATACTAGGTTTTATTTAGAACGCACTATATAGCAATTCTAATCCGAAACGCTTATACTAAGTCTTATCCGGAACGCGTAGAGGAAGTCTATCCGGAACGCAAATAGCAAGTACTATTAGGAACGCTTATAGCAAGTAGGACTATCTAAAATACCTATAGTAAGTCCTATTTAGAATACTTATAGCAAGTCTAATCCGAAACGCTTATAGTAAATACTACTAAAAACGCTTATAGCGAGTAGTAATATTCGAAACGCTTATAGCGGTAACTATCCGAGATAGCTATAGCGAGTAGTCCTATCCGAAACGCTTATAGCAAATACTATCTAAAACGCCTATAGTTAAACAGGATTCGAACTATTTATAGCGAGTACCTTATCTAACGCCTACTATAAGTACCCTATAAAACGCCTATAGCGAGTAGTACTATCCGGAACGCGTAGGATAAGCCTTTCGAGCCTACCGCTCCGAGTAAATACCGCTAGATTAGGCGCGAACGATACCGCCTTAAGCAAAAAACGCCGCCGGATTAGGCGTAAACGACGGAGACGGCCTCGGAAATGCTGCTATCGCGGCGCCGGAGCGTTATAGTCGATCCTACGACTTCTACGCCCTCCGGACCGCGTAAGAATCGAGAAATTTTAAAGTTCCTCGCCGCCGACTAATTAGAGTCGGCTTTTCGGTCGTTTTAGGCCGCACTAAGCCTAAAGGGGCCCCATTTTTTGTTGAGTTGTCATATTATAGATATGATAGCTCGAATGACAAAGAATGTATTTGCAGCGATGAGGATGCTAGCCAACAATCACCCTGTGGCTGTACTGGTGACGCGTGGCTGGAGATATCGGCATCAATCATCGCACACGCACAGGGCAAGCGCGCCAAGACATTTCCAAACTCTCCGCTCGCCATTTCGATCTCACTTCGCTTCCCTTTTCTTCTTCTTCCCTTCAACTCATTTTGACGGTCTGTTTATTGTGCTGTGACTAGGCTACTTCTCCTACCTGGTTATGGTCTGCTATGGCCGCTAGAGCGCGAACACGGGCGCCGTAGCTGGAAAGACCGAGGGTGCACACAAAGCACTCGATGAAATTTCTCTCCTTACCGACGGCTGCTACATCTCTTCATCGACATGTGACCTGAACAAGTCTATGACTTGCTCCACGGAAATTGGCTCATATTCTCGGCGCGCTTGCTTGATCACCGTCGATGTCGGCATGCCGTGCTTCATTGCAAAGCCGCCTGCCCGAGTGCAAGGCAAAGAGTCCAGGAAAGCCCTGCTTGCGCGGTTCCCTTATACACTCGTCGGGCGACCACGTTGAAGGTTGGCGCGTTCCAAACATTGAAGTTCTCATCTCATTCCTAGTATCATCCGTCAGCTATACTACATTGCTAAGCACAGATTGGAACACACAGCAGAACAGATATTGCCTCGAGCCCGCGCGCTGAACAAGCGTACGTGAGAACGTTACACGAAATGAACCGATTGCTGTTGAGACCATGCACTTACCGCTGATCAGACTGCCAATTCAGAATCAAACAGGATTGCAGATTGGACAACATGCGTTCGACTGCGATTTACCGGCGCTGCCAAGGGATCTCCCACCAGACCATTCGTACTACTCGGCCTTGCAAAGCGCACGCACATCTTCACCGCCAACACAATGTCCACAGGCCTGGAGATTACCTCTTGGCCCCGGAGCGTCAACGCCTCAGCTACAGCTCAGATATCAAGCCAATCACAAAGAAAAGTTCACGGCAGAGCAATTTCACAGCAACTCTAGGCACTGGTCTGGTCATCAATGCCGTAATTCTGATGCTTGCTCATGAAAACGACCAAGGCCCGCCATCACTACAACAAGCGACATCTAGCACGAGCGACCTCGGAGTCGTTGGCCCAATCTTATAACATATCGAAGCCACACTCACTGTCCTTGCGGCACATGAAGTTCGGCATGTGCGCGCTCAGAAGTGATCGCCAGGGCGGTTTATCCATTGTGTAGCTTGAACAATGAGTGGCTCATCTCGGACAGGCTGCATGGCACTATGCCACGATTTGAAAGGAATGCAAGCTGCTGGGAATGGTGCACTATCTGTTTTGGCATAGAGCATAATTCGACTTATCTACGTGCCCTACAAACCCAGTCTCGCTGGCTATGTATTCAGTCTACGCAGCTGCTCCAGCAACAGGACACTTCGCTGCTGGCGCATCATCGGGTACGCTCGGGTGTGCGTGCACCTTGCCCTTATGGTGTTCCAACTTTGCATTTGTGACTGGGCACACAGCACCAGCTTCCTTCTCAGTCAACGCAGGGTGAGCTGGAGGGAGATGTGCATTTACTGGCCCAACGACAGGGCAAGTAGCATCTGTAACGCTCTCTTGCGTATTCGCTTCCTTCAAAGCAGGGCATTGGGAAGCATCCATAGCTTCTTTATCGGAGGACGGGACATGGGGAGCGGATGGGTGGTTATGGATAATGTTCTCGTGGTGGTCGACCTTTGCGTTCGTCACCGGACAGCGAGCTTCTGGGTCTGTAGAACGATGTCAGTCTCATGACCTTTTCTCCTGACTGCTTCGTCGAAACAATGTAGGACTGTCGCATACCAGACTTGATTTCCGGGTGATGAGGAGGGAGAACATTGGTTGTAGTTCCAACGACTGGACACACTTGGGCCATGATTACTTAAGCTTGCGTTTGTGTAGATGGATGTCACAGGGTTCAAGTTCTTTTGGGATCCCTTCTTGATGATGCTTTGAGAAAGGCTTGCAGATGATGAACAAAGAGAAGAAAGAGGTTGAGGCAGCAAAGGTGACCCCGGAATCACGATCGAGAGCAACAAACTCCATCCCAGTCGTCATCATGTGAGACGATAGATACTGTATCTTATTAAGCGCAAGGCTTTGATTGGCTGAACCACCAGCTGGCACTTTGGCAGTACTATACTACTGCAGCTAGGCAGAATACGCACACGCCACGGTTGATGAATAATAATGCCTAGAAGATAAGTACTCTAGGCCACACCCTCTGCTAAGGTTTCGGTGTTGTTATTCTACCCTACGAAAAAGCTTTCGAGCCCTGCAACTGCTGTTTTATCTAATAAAATGAGAGAAGCAGACATATAGCCTATATTGAGTTATAACCTACCAACGCAGAACCTCGAGCTACAAACTCTATTAAGTAAGCTCGTGGACCTAGATGTTTATATTGGTATGCTCAAAATTCTACTACAGACTATTTCTAAGACTCTAGGCGAATTACCCTAGGTATTAAAAGAGCCTCGAGAGCCTCTTTCCCTAACCATCGTGAGGCCCGCGGTCTACTAAAGGCCCACTACTAACAGTCTGCTGTCGATAAGGTATACCGGGTACCGCAATATAACTTTAAGGATCCCGATAGACCAACATTGTTGTTCTTTACAGAGCCCTTGCAAGTTGCAATTCTGCCTTTCGTAAGGTCGTATATACCTTACTATATATATCGGTATAGCCGAAGGTACAAATTCCATGTTAGCCCTCGCCCTTCTCTAGCGTTTCTATTCCTACGTCGGCTACTAGCTACTACCCAAAACGCCTACCACTACCGCGTCTAGCTAAAATGCTATCATCAAGAATCATTGCTACACTACTCTGCCTCGTCGGGCTTACACTCGGATGTGACTCGGTTTGCGAATGCTGTGGCGGTGGCAGCGGGGTAAGGACCTTGTCCTCGAATAGAGCTGTATATCTCGCTCCGCGAGCCCGTACTAATTGAACTGTTTCTAGGTGGGATCATTTGTAGGGTGGTGTCATCATAACAGCAAGGGTAAATTGGTTTGCCAAGTGGCGGACGGGGGTTGCACAAACTCGTGTAGAGGAGTTTAAGTTATCGTAGGGGATCAATTCGAACGCGGCTGCAATCGAGGTACTTTCAGTCCAGCAGCACAATATACACTGGCAACGGGCCTCCTAGCACATCTGGATCATCAAGGAACCATTTTCGTGGCGGGTATATACATTCATTTATGCAATGACAAGTTGATGGAGACCAGTGGTTCACTGTCCGCGTTGCAATGGTGTGTAGGGCTCTGCTGTTTTGAGCACTTGCCGGTTTCCAAAACTTGGCAGCTTGAAGAAGGGCTTGGAGACCACATCCTGAGCTCTGAGCTCGGGGCTAGCGAGGAGATCATGCGCCTGAAAGCCGCTCACATCAAGAACAGCCTTCTGACAACAGTCATTATGGGCTCCTTGACCGCCCAAAGCCATCCAGGTTGTGGGTGACCTTCTAGGAACCACTGATAACCCTCCGCCCAAGCCTTGTTTCCATCACTGTCCAGCACGTCTCCATGACAAGGAACTATGCGCTGAATATCAAGCTCAGCAACACGTTTCGCATCTCTACGCATGGGCGTATATTCGACATAAGCAACATAGTAGATCAGCCGGCGAAACCAGATAGAGAATGGATGCGCTCGTTTCGCGAATTCCCTCGAAAACGGTCCTTCGTCCGCGGATGAAGGATGATACTGCTCAGTAGCAGGCAAATTCATCAAGAGATCTGAAATTATTAAGGTCTTTGTCGGTCTATGATACCATGCTACGGCATGCGTGATGAAGCCTTCGAAAAGAACGGTTTCGATTCCGTGGGAGAAGGAGAATTGATCTTCTGGACTCTGTTGCCAATCTTCGTAGATAAAGTCCCACTTCACGTCTTTTCTCTTCCCTGGCAGGCCGGAGACTCCGATGGTTTTCGCATTTGGCCAGCGGTTGAGATAATCAGCGACATAGGAGTGGTGTCCGAGATCACAGGCAATGTAGTCGACGCCTCCGAGTTGGTCTAATCGATCTTGTACGGCTTGGCCAAGTTGGATTGGGTTGAGGAGTAGGACTCTGCGATCTTGTAACCGAATCGCTGTTGCACGGTTGCCAACAGCAACGAATTTGCGATAGCCGAATGGAGCGAAGCGATAGAAAGGTGCAGTAAAGGTTGTAATTTGTGATGATATATCTCGTATCACCACATTGCTTTTTGCCTTGGACATATCGAGTTTTGCATTTGGTCGTCCGTAACGGATGCTGTCACTGCAGTGGGAAGGAGAGACACAAAAATGGTGAGGTCATTGTCATTAGTATTGATTTTGGGTGCATCAAATATTTGATGAGATGGTTTAGGAAGTGCACTTCAAGTTCCTTCCAACCTGGTTCGCACTTGCTACCTGCTAAGTAGTAGTACTCGCACTGCTATGATATCGATCCCAAACAGCAATCGCCTCACGCCATAGGTCTTGCTATCGAAGGATCAAGTATGTCTGACGCTTATCAACTCTCAGTCTGCGGACACAGCCCTCTTATAAAGATCAATGGCCGACCGAGACGAACTCATACTCAACTTCAAGAGATGCACCAACTCGACAAGCAAGAGGAATTCTTCAAGAGTGATTCCAATTGCCAGTTCCCAATTTCCGACCTACTTACTACCCTGACCACCAACCTCCCTTTGCGAATCCCAAATTTCAACCAGCTCCCTCTCCGCAACATCCTCCGGCGCCCGTCTAGTCTCAAGCAAAACACAGAGAAGACCCACAAGCCCACAAAAGTACAAAGGAATCGAAATCGCCCACATCACAGGCCCAAGTAAAACTCCAAGGGAAGTGACAGCAACCATTGCCCCTATAATAGCCGAACATAGGGAGAGCTTGCCAGCCCAAGTCCTCGCCGGATTCTGTTCATAGCCCTCTTTCACGACTGCGATCTTGATTTCTTTGTACAACATCCATCCCGCTTGCGCACCGAAAATCTCGTGGTACATTTTCCCGGGGTATTTGCGGAGTTCGCGACCCGTGCCTGCGAGCCATGCTGAGGCGATTTGACGGGCCTCTGCGTGCTGGAGGCCATGGGATAGTGTCAAGATGTCGACAAGGTATGCTCGAACTTCATCTGCGGTGGCGTCTTCGGCTGGTAATTTGATTCCGGCTTCTTCTGGAGTCTTGTTCTGAGATGGCTTTTCCAGGAGTGTTGAGGAGCTGGATTGGCCGTCGTCGTCCAGTGATGCTCGTGAGCTCTCTGGGAGGTTCTTTTCGATATCGTCTTCTTTTGACATGTTGACGGTACTCTTGGTGCTTGGGGCTGTGAGTGGTGGGTTAGAAGGGAGTTCCAAGTTGCAGGTTGTTTAGATATTTGAGGTCGGGCACGTGGCTGTGCCACCTGCGACCACAATCAATGGGTGGGGCCGCGGACACAGCCTCAAAATGGAGGAATGCGATTCGCTCAGGCTGCCGAGCACGTTGATCCTTTTCGTAAGCCTGAGGCCGCCCTTGGGGTAAAATGTGCAGTATCACGAAGTGGAATGGCTGAATGACTGAATGCCTGGATGCCTGAAGCTTGAGTCACATGATGCAACATTTGAAACCCGACCAATCACAGAGCGCCAAGAAATCGACACAGCTGGTATATGTCACGAGCGGAGCTCCCCCCGGTCACCTGACCTTCGCTTCGCTCCGGGAGGTGCCAGAGGCGCTTCGTGAATGAGATAGGACTCCAGTACCAAAGCTCTTCCAAGAACCGCGATTTGGGTATTGACACTCAGAAAGACGCCGCTGGCTTGGTACAATCGTTTCTCACGAGACAATCAACTGTCTTCCTGCATCCTGTAGATCTTCCAACCTGCCGTTGCCAGCACTCGCGGAACACATTCGACCATGACCCGATCGACGTCTTTCCAATCCTGCGTAAGATCTCTCCAAGGTACGAGGAAAGGTGTCGTTCTCTTATTCGAACTGCGAGGTCCCATCTTCCATTGCCTCTGCAAGCGTTCCGCATTGAACCGCTCATGTTCCATTTCGCTCAACATGTCCAGTTCCGCTACCGAGAATTCCGGGACATGTATAAGTGGCTCTGATCGATCTTCGTTCAGCATGAAGCAGTTCACTGCCCGAAGCTTTCTAGGGATATCGTCGGCCTGAGCCCGCGTTGACTCTTTCAGTTCTGGTGCCAGCTCGTCCCAATCGTACATGCTCGCATCAGATTCTAATGCTTCCTTCTCAGCTGGTGTTCTCGCCATCTCGGTTCGCTTCTTCTTGTATGCCACGAAGAGCCCTTGTGCGAGGCGCTCTCGAAGAGCAGCGGGCAGCTTGGGTGAGCGAAGGAAAGACATGAATGTTCGCCCGTCGACGTGAAGCTGTATTTGCTCTTCTGGAGGTAGGGCGGAGACGTCGAATTTGACTTTGCTTGAGAGACGACTCGTGCTGAGGATCTTGTCTAAGGATCGGAGGCCGTGCTTGTAGTGAGGGACTAACAGGAGAGCATGGAGAACGCCCTCTTCGATCTTGATCTGACCAGTCGTCTCAAAGAGGTGTGGAAATTTCTGTTTGAGCATCTGTCGCAGCATCATGGCTCGACGCACCGAGAACATCTTGTCTTGCGCACTGGTCTGGTTTGGTCCTAGGATACGCACAACGCCATGAAGATGATCTAAGAGCTGTGACTCATCAATGAATTGCCGGTCTTTGAAGTCGTTCGATGATGCCGTTGGTGTAGGGATGCCTTCTAAAGACGGCGGCTCCTGATTGACCAGGAAGAAAAGTAGTGGGCTGCCTAGACTGCGAACATGTCCTCTATCTGTAAAGTGTCCGTCCCGCATCATGACCAGAAAATCGTTGAGCAGCTCATTTTTTGGCTCGAGAATTGCTTCGAAGTTCTCGAATGAGACAACGGTGACCAGCCCGCTTGCAGTATTGTCACGAATGGTATGGCAGAGAGCCACGAGATCCTCAAGTCGCAACAGCCGACCATTGAACGTAAGCTGTTTCACCTTGGCATCCTGTGCCAAATGTTTAGCAAGATTTGCTGCCACAAACTTCTTGCCCGATCCCGGTGGTCCCAAGATTCCAATTGAAGTAGGCTGTGCTGTTCTAAGGGAAAGACGCTCTTGTACTGCGTCAACTACCGCGCGCAGGCTTTCTTGCTCGGTCCTTTCGACACTCAACAAATTGCCGAAGCGCTGCAGTGGACACCTAGAAAGAGTCTTTTCGGGACCTTGCGTAACGATGTGTCGTGCGACTTCCGCGGGATCACCAGTGACTGCATCGAATATGCTCCAAGAATCACCAGAGCTTATTCTTCCGGATGGAATGTTGACGCTAGAAAATCTCTTCTCGGCCTTGAGGCTGTCGACGACTGCATCAACTGGATAATCGGGCGCCTCATCGATAGGATTCGTCACGAAGCCCTTGCTGTCCATGTCGCGTGCTGCAGATATTCCAAGGCGGATCCCTTTCTCGCAGTTGGGTGGTGACGAGTCCGCGAAGCCCAGCGCGAAGCCCGCCGTGAATGCTGACGATAGCCCAATCTAATCACGATTAGCATTATTCTCAATTCTAGAATGGTCTCTTTACCATGTGGCTGCCCTGTTTGTAGTCATATTCTGCTTCGCGAGGGTGGAAATAAAGCTTGGGATCCGTGGCGTCCCTTCCACGATGATGTATGAGACCCTCGTTGCCAAAGCGTACGATCAAATTAGGACAGGTCACAAGCGTGTCTAACCTGCCGTTTGAACCCAGGTTGCGGACAAAGTCTTCAGTTGTTTGCTCCCAAGACAACGATCGACTCAGGGATATGCCTTCGGCCCGGAGGTCGTCCGCGTCGATAATGACTGCTAGATGATCTGGATCGGGCACACCGTCTCGAGTTCGAGGTCCGTCGCGTATAATGTCCCAAAGTGGTCCAATAGCAAGAGGCCTTGTCATGTGGTGAATGATGTAGCGTGGCCTGACACGCTGTAAGAAGTCCAAGGCTGGCTCTACGTCTCGAAATGAATCTCCAGATCCCGCGATGATGACCGTGCTCGCTTTCGCTGCAGTTGTCTGTGCAACAGCTTGATCGGTAGGAGGTGCGTGCCAGACAGGAGACCTGCCAATTTGCCGCTTCCGAATCACTCGTAAAGCAGGACTCTCGTCGGCTGAGGCATCTACACGACCCAGATCCACCACGGAAGAGGCGTTGTTCTTGAGGCAGTTCGACGCAGGAGCTTGCAATGCCGGCCCTAAGACTACAAGAAGTCAGCTACTTGTGACCGGATCACAGTCCACCCAAATACTGACCTTCAAAAGAGCCCCATTGCGGCGCTGCAGCGGTGAGCAGCTGCGCCACAAGGTCAGCTGCAGAGGCTCTTACGACTAAGCTGCTATGCTCAGACGTTGCGTCTGGCGCTGCATTTGAGGTCGTCATGGGATAGACCAGATAATCGTAAGACACTGCGCCTGCTACCAGCAGTACACGCGATCCTTTGCCGCTCATCTACGCGCGTCTTCCCCTGGGTATGTGATTTGCCAAGCCAGCGCGCTTTCGGGCTCCGTCGTCTGCATAACGAAGGCAACCCGCAAAATCGATCGACCGCAGAAGCTGCGACCTGAGACCTGAGAGAGGCTGAGCCGAGCCGGGCCGCATGAGATCTGGAGCGCTGCACGCCGCCGGAATATGCGAGTTTGAGCGGCACAGCGAGGTTCAACAACAAGTGTTGGTGATGGAGGAGTGGAAAACAACGAACGCGTTGCGCTGCGCTGCGCTGCGCTGCACAGCCACTTTCAGGCTGGCAATCGAAAATTTGCGAGCCGCCCACCCTCACCCTCACCCTCCCTCATTCGACAGGTCAATAATGCGATTAACCTCCTCCAGTCTTCCGTAGGCCGGCTCTAGTTCCAGTCAGGTTGCCCGGTAACACAATAATGTGCATGGCGGGCGTTCTGAAACGAGTCAAACGACACACGCCCGCCTGAGGTCGATGCGATCATACCGCCTTCCTGCATGGTCAGACCGCCAAGAACGTGCACAGCTCATCATGCATTAGACCCATCGGCATCATAGTTCACTTTGCGGGAGCTCTTGCGTCTGGACTTCAGACGCTTACGAGGTGTCGTCAAAGGGACGACGTACACGCATCTCTCACAGCGTCTCGTGCGCTCACACATCGTGCTGGGTGCATACAGTAAGGCGGTGGCACAGAACCAACCAGATGGTAAAGCCCGGTATCCCGGTCCGATGGAGAGTGCAGAGGTGGCGCTGTCGAAATTCCAGATCTCGGATTCGACTCTTGAGGTATGACAATGCTGGTGCTGACACAAGATCTGCGAATTCTAGCAGTCGCCGGGGAGGTGATTTTGTTGACAGCAGTAGCATAATGACTGGAAGTTTCCCGACACTTTGAAAGCTCGCCCGCTGAGGAAGCTGGAGGAGGAAGACTTTCTTATCAACCACAAGGTAAACAGCTCGACAATGCTATGCCCGAGGGTCCAGCTAAACCTGTTGTACAGATCGATAGAAGCTACGATGATAGCACAGTCCGCTTCAAGCTGCTGTGAGCATGCTCGATGAGGACGATTGCTGCATGAACGCCAGACTAATCTGAGCAGTATCGCAAGTGCTGTTAGCGCAAATCTTAGCGACCAGGACAGACTTCCTTTCAACCAGGAAATCGTCAACGTTGTCAAGAAACAGGGCTGGATATCAGATGAATATGTTCACCTCTGGAGAAGAGACGAGGGAGGGTCAGCTGCTCTGACCAATCATGGCATTCTCAGTAGGCGCTGACAGAAGAATGAATGAAAGCATGGGAAGAAAGCTAATCATCCGCTAGCGTTTATGCTGCAGACGCCGAGAGATGGAAAGTCGTTCTGCTCGCTATCGCTGGTCAATCGAGAGCGACACCATTGCGGTGGCTTGTTCGTGGCCGACGAGAACTACAGCGTGGACAAGCTTCTCGCTGGGCAGGAATATCTGAATCGGCATCCAAAGGTTCCGCGAGACTTTGCAATACTACCCTTTCAGATACTCCTGCACCACGTAGAAGAGAGCTTGGAACAGGTCCAGAAGCTGTCCCGTGAGATCACGAACACAGAACGCAGAATAGCCGATGGCAGGATCAATCTGGACGAGAATGGCGATTACAAGCTGCTCAACAGACTCAATCTTGAGCAGTTAAGGTTGCAGAGGCGGTCCAACTTTGAGATTGAGCTTGGGAAGAATCTGCTGAAATATCTTGATGCTTATCACCGGCTCTGGACTCATTTGTGGGAGGGCGGCACCGGCTATGTGGATGATATGCGAGAGAAGACAGAGCAGCAAATGCGCTATTCAGAACAGGTCCAGAAGGATCTTTCGATGATGCCTCGGCGCATTGATAATCAGTCGCATGCAGTAGGTCGCATTCCTGGCATAGGTGGTGGTAATGGAGGATATGCTAAGTTCGACGGCAGATCTTCAGCTTCATTGCGCAAAGAGACAACAAGATCAATCTCCAAGTCGCCGAAAGCTCTCGCAAGATTGCGGAAGAGTCCAGGCTGGATAATCTTTTGAACGTTAAATTGGCCAAGGTCACGGCGCAGATGGCGGAGGAAACGAGACAAGACAGTGCAGCGATGAAGACAATTGCCGTTCTCACGCTGACCTTCTTGCCTGGAACTGCTGTAGCTGTGAGTATGGTTTGTCGTCTGGATTTAGCATTTTGACTGATATAGCTTGGCACAGTCGTTCTTCAGCATGAACGGAATGTTCAACTGGGATGCCTCGGAAGGCCACCCAATTGCGTCGCCATATTTATACGTCTTCTTTGTGGTGACGATTCCTCTCACACTGCTCGTATATGCGGGATGGGTGCTGTGGTTCAGGCGGCTGGAACAGAAGTACAAGGTCAATGCAGCGGACGTAGACTTTGCCGCTGTTGAGTCGGATCTCATGAGGCGAATGAGGACGGCGACAAACTCGTGGAATTTTGAGAAGCAGGCTACACTCGGGGCCGCAGACATGCAGCAATGACAGGATTGTGATGTGAAGAAAGGTGCTATTGCCTCAGCTCGTCACCGACATTGCGCGGCTGTTGCTTTTTCAGGTCTTGTTGTACGGTGTCTCGATACACAGCGCTGGAAGCTTCCCAACGTGTCTGCCATTGTCTTTGAGACGAGTCTCTATCTCCTGTGCATGCCAGTCTCTCACAGCGCAGTGCTTCTCGTATCTCCGTACATGCTACGGCGGCATTCCCGAGAATAGATTCAACGAGAAAGGAGAAGCGCACAGTCGGCCCATCCGATGCACAGAATGCAGATACGTCGTCAGGAAGTCCATCGGCGTCGTCAGCGACGGTATAGGTACGATGTTGCCTCGCTGCCGCCAACCACGCGAGGCCCGCGAAAGGATCTGTACTCGTTATACATACAGTAGTGACACAGCCACGGCGTCCTCAATCTGCACTGCACGGCGCACGCGATAGCAGCCGTGTTGAATCCTAAAAATGGTCGCCTAAAAATGCACGCTTGCCTTGCCTTGCCTTGCCGTGCCTCGGAGCTATATACCCTCGTCCGCAGCTCTGGGCACTCTGGAGTCTGGCCCCAATCCTACGCTTTGTTCATATGCCAGCTGACATACAAAGGTTTGGGAGGCGTGAGAGCTCTTGATTGCAGTTTCTCTGATCTTCCCTCCCCGCCCATGGCACCTGTGGCATTCGACCCCTTTGAAGCACTGGGACTGCCTCGCAACGCTAGCGGACAAGCAATTAAGCAGCGATACCATCAACTGGCGCGTAAATACCACCCAAACCGTCATCAGGGTTCCGACGAGGCCAAAGCCACCTTAGCAGAGCACTTCCACAACATCCATCAAGCATGGAACCTGCTGAGCAAAGCGGACAATCGGCGGCGGCGCGTCGAGCTGCTCAACCTACTCGAGCTGCAAGATGACATGCTTGCTCACTTCGTGGATCTGCTGAACCCCGAGACTCCGGAAGAACGCCATGATGAGAAGCATGAGCATTCAGCATTGGAGGGCAACACCTCAAGCGATGCTGACGAAGATCTACCAAATGTCGGTTTACAGCGCAGACAGACGTTCGCTAAGCGTAACACGCACGTTGCCCACCTCGGCGATCAGCCAGATGGCACAAATCCTTCGAGTCCGACCAGTCCAACAAAGAAACATGTCAGGATTCTTTCGAATATGCTCAAGCGCTCGCACAGCAAAGCAGACCAAAAACGCGGCAGCGACTACTTCACCCTTCGGCGAAAGAAGCTGGAGAAGCTTCGGCGGAAAGAGCTAGAAGCGTTCATAGACTATCGCAATGCTATGGTTTCCAAGTTTGAGGCCGAGGAAGAGGCTGAGAGGCAACAAGAGCACTATGAGAGGGCCAAATGGAAGCGAGAATACTTTGAACGTGCTCCCCGCGGCACTACAGAACGCATGCGCTCGTTTCAGCAATTCATGGGTGCGGTGGCAGCATTTGGAGATCACGGCCATACACAGCGCAGAGGCTCTTTGCCCGGAGGCTTTGGAGTCATGTCTCCTGTAGTAGGGCCCGGAGAAGGCGGACAGTTCTTGTTTCCTGACAGTCATTTGACTCGTGGAAAGTCGGTCCATAAAAGAGGTTGGAGCAGTGATATAAGCGGCGATCAGTCTGACAGCTCGGAAGATTCTGGCGATGCTCATGTGAGAGGACGAATCTCTCCGCCCGGCAGGTGGAATCACTACTCGAGGAGCTCTCAAGAGCACGTCTCGTTTGACGCGTTTCGTCACGCTGGGAAGCCTATGGCAAGCGCACAGCCTGGTCAAATCAATCCCGACGGACCATTCAAGCTTGTTGTGCGTCAACCTACAGATCTCGGTACGATTCGCGAGAATCAGGACTCTAGTGGTGAAACTCAATCTGCCTCATCTAGGTCACCTTCGCCAGCAGGCCAAAGCAACGGCATGGAGCTGATGAGTTTCACTTGGATGCCGACGAAAGGTACTTCAGAAATCTTTGGGCCGCCTTCAGAACGTAGAGAAAGGTCACCAAGCCCTGGCCCTCGCCGCCACTCTTCATTCACCAATTCCAACGGAGACGCTATGCAAATTATCGATGAAGGTTGCCATTTCACAACCAAGCAAATCGGCATTCCGCACAACACTTACATCCCAAGAGAGCACGTGCATCTACTCAATCGTGATGAAAAGGCGAGAATATTGGGGGTCGAGCCGGACCCAGAGGAAAATGTCGACCCAGTGCGCCTGCTGGAAAGACTGCACAGGCTCAATGCAGAAGTGGCTTCCAAATTCATGGTGAAGCCAGATTTCAAGGATAGCTTCAACTTCAGACTGATATACCCATATCGTCAGATAGCGACTCGGCAGCATCAATCATTCATCGCCTTAAGCTATCGTCGCAAATTGCATGTTGCAGAAACCGAGGGGCACTTCACTCTGCCACTGGAGAAAGAGATCTTTCAGGCAGTCTGGGAGGAACGTCTCGAAAATGAGGGCCTATGGATCGATCAAATCTGCATCAAACAAGATGATCGCGAGGAGACCACGATATCGATGTCTGCGATGGATATGGTATACCGGAGTGCGCGAATCGTTGTGGTAGCACTGGATGACATCGAATTGGAGGCGCATGAAGGCGAGCTCCTCCAAAATCACATGAACGAGTACTCATCTATGTTCCACGTGGCACCACGGCAGCGGTTTCGACGAAAGCAGCCACCATATCTTGAGAGCCACGAGAATCTTTTCAGAGTCATTCGCAAAATGCTGAGGTCCTCATGGTTCAAGCGTGCATGGTGCAGGCATGAGATGCGTCTTGCGAAGCACCATATATTCCTCATTCCATGCAAGAAGCCGGGTACTTGGTCCGGGCGTGACGTACTCAGATTCAATGGCAAAACTATTGCCCACCTCCTCGATCTTGCGACAGAAGTGCCCTTTGAACCCGATGTCGAAGCTGTAAAGCCTGCGTTGCATGCATTCTTCAGGGACCGGAGTAAGATGGCACCTGACGAGCGACAAAAGCGCCTGCATCACGGCAATTTCTCGACTGTAGTGGCTGAAGTCTTCGCTATGGATGCTGGAGGAGATCCTCGAATACCGCTGGCGCAGCGAGAGGCAGATGCTCGCAAAGACAAGATCGCCATCATTCTCAACACCATGGAGTGTGGCCTTGCAATCCATGAGAGGCTTCGCGACCCACACATAATGCTTTCTCAAACCGAGTGTTTCCATGACTTGATGTTGCTCAGCTTGGCAGCTCAAGATCCCGGCGCACTCTGTTCTGTGGGCGCACCTCTGCCAATCACAAACGCTTCTCACAGCTGGATCTATACGCCTACAGTCGCGGACGCCGGCCTCAACAACTCGAAGACATTACAGCGCCTGCCAGATCGCGCTGAGTTTGTCACCAATACGTCCGGCACAGAGCACTACATCGAGCTTGACCTGAAGTTCCTCAAAGGCAATGCAGGGGATCGACTGTTGCCGGACGAAGATGCCCACAAGATGGCAAGTCATTTTATCAAGTGGTGCGAAGAGAAAAAGTTGGGGCGAAACAGAAAGCGGTACTTGTTGCGTGATCGTACTGCGAACCTGCTCTTTGGGCCAATGTCAGAGGTATATGAGCAGACTCTTGCTTGTGTCTTCACCTGTGGACCTGAATGGATGGGCGACGTCTGTCAGCGATACAGCATGAGCAGATGGAGAGTCGACCTGCAAGGAGCTTATGAACTTCTTATTGCACTGGCAAACACCCACGGTCGCTGGCCGACCACTGCTTGGAGCGAGCGTGCTGCCGGCTTCATCATGGACTTCGTCAACTTCCTGATCATCCGCGGTCTTCCACAGCGGCAGGTCCAGAAGCCAGAGAAGTGGCGGCCGCGCGCTGTTAAGACCGGCCCTGGCGGCAAAGTACTTACCTTTGTCCCACTAAGCAATCCTCACATCCAGCCAGCTATTCCAACCGTTCTGGTCAACGCGGACTATGTGCATCTGGCTCGTCTCTGGATACTCGAACCACGGCATTCATTAGGTCTCGGCGAAGACCTCGAGAACAACTCAGAATGGACACTTCTCGGAAAATCTGTTTTATTTAGCGATGAACTTTCCATCGGATCTATGGCCTCATATGGAGGCGATTTTGTCGTTCAGCAAAGGGTTTTTGGACGGCATCGATCGGCGCAATCAAAAGGTACAGCGGAACCGGCGCGGATTTCTAGAAATTAATGATACCCTGTACTTCTAGTTGCATTCATGAGTTTGCATACAGCGATCGGAGCGCGGGTGATTCTGGTATGGAGAATAATAAGTGTCGTTGTTCAGAGCCACTTCGGGTTCTTATGTGCTGTTCGATGCATCAGTGCTAGTTGCGACACGAGCTGATGTTGTGGTAGGTCGCGATGAGAATCTGTGCTACAGTATCGGCTGGCCGGCTCAATCGGCTTGCGCATCAAGCAGTGTAACCCAATGCTCACGGACACCACGGAATACACGCCCGTCACTCTTGGAACCCCCCGTCATCTGCCTATGCAGTCGGCTAGAACTATCGCTTAGACCAACTCATCCAATGCTAGTACTACCTCGTGTTCCTGCAGTGCAGCACAAGTTGCAATGGCTCCACTAATAAGACTATCGTAGAACATGTTGTAATCCATCTGATCCGTCTTTCTCATTTCAAAGCTTGTGTTGACTTCATCTCTTCGCATTAATCAAGCGTGGTGTCAATTTTGAATGTTGTGCTGATATTAGCCAGTATAGCCGCCGCTATAGCCACGCCTGAAGCGAACCACGTCTTACACGAGAAGAGGAATGACAACCCAATTACTTGGAGGAAAGGCTCGAGAGCAGCACATCATCATGTATTGCCTTTGCGAATCGCGTTGAAGCAGCAGAATCTCCACAATATTGACGAGTATCTCAATGACATTGGTGAGAATGACGAGTGAGTCGATTCGGTCAACGAGCACATTATGGCTGACGGACTTCATCTTTTGCTTCTTATAGCTGATCCTGATTCGCCCAATCATGGTATGTTCTCCTTCGATATGGCGTTGCAGCCAGCTAACAGCTGTAGGCAAGCATTGGTCAGCAGCGAAGGTGGCGAACACATTTGCTCCATCTCAAGAAACATCGAATGAAGTGTTCAAATGGTTGTCCGCCATCGAAATACATCACAGCCGGATCACACATTCGAAGGGAAGGAATTGGCTCGAGGTGAACGCAACAGTCGCAGAGATCGAACGTCTTTTGAAGACAGAGTACCACCTTTTCCAGCACCAGGAGAACGGAGGCTACAGAGTTGCATGCGACTCCTACCATTTGCCCAAGGAATTGCAAAGTCACGTCGACTTCGTAATGCCGACGATCTAGCTCGATGGATTACAGCCAATCGCACAAAAATCCCCGGCTGTTCAAGTGTCGACGGTCACCAACTTTACCGGACCGTTTGGCCTGACACGTTGTGACGATTTGATCACGATCGACTGTCTACGAACCATCTACAACTTCGGCAAAGGCAACTACAGTCACGCTGGAAACAAAATGGGCATAGCCGAATGGGCTGATTTTCTCAACTATCCGGACCTGAAGCCCTTCTTCAATAACTTTACTTCTCCTCAGATTCCAGCTGACACTCTCCCGGAGTTCGTTAGCATAGATGGCGGCAAGAGGGTGGATCCGAATGGCACAAATTACATTGAAAGCGCTCTAGACATCGAGTCAGCGTACTCGATCATTTGGCCTCAACAAATTCGTCAGTACCAAGTTGGTGATTCAGTCAACGTGGACAGTGTGGGTACCTTCAATATCTTCTTGGACGCTCTCGATGCTTCGTATTGCACATATCAAGGCGGTGATCAGCCCTATCTGGACCCAGTATATCCAGATCCAAACGAAGGTACATAGGTCATGCCCGCTGGAGCTTCGGAAGCCGGTGACAGCACTAATGCCCTGATTTCTAGGCGGCTGTACCGGTCCTCTCCAATGTGGAGGGGCTCCCATAAGCAACGTTATCAGTATCTCCTACGACTAAATCGAAGCTGCTCTACCACGCTTTTACCAAGAACGACAGTGCCGCGAGTGGGCTAAACTGGGCTTGCAAGCTGTTTCTGTAGTCTTCGCAACTGGAGACGCAGGCGTTGCGAACAGATACAATGCCGCATACAACAACAGCTGTGTCAACGCCGAACACGGCTACGTCCTCCCCCAGCTTCCCCGTCAACTGTCCGTATATCACAGCTGTCGGTGCCACTCAGCTCAAGACAAGAGGCGCAAATGCCATCTACGGAGGAGAAGTCGCTGTTGCCCAACCTAATAAAAAGAACAACACATACCTCGATTTCTATTCGGGGGGGGGGGGGGGGGTTAGTAACATCTGCCCGAGACCACAATACCAAGACCACGCTGTGAAAGTTTACCTCGACGACTATGCTCCAAAGTACAATGACAGCGTATTCAATCGTACCGGCAGAGGCATCCCGGACGTGTCAGCGATGGGCTGGAATATCACGACCGTCTATTTCGGTCGGACAAGTGCCATTGGAGGCACTTCTGCCGCTATTCCCATCTTTGCTGCCATCCTGACTCTGATCAACGAAGAGAGATTACAAGTTGGAAAAACGCCGATCGGATTCGCGAATCCGGTCTTCTATCTACAAGTATCCGGAAATGTTCAATGATGTTACTGAAGGCAAGAATCCTGGGTGTGGAACTGAGGGCTTCCCGGCGTCGAAGGGTTGGGATGCTGTTACTGGACTTGGAACTCCGGATTTTGAGAAGATGAAGGTGTTTTTGAGATTGTCTTAGATGTCGCGAAAGATACGGCGAGGCTAGAGCAATGTCGCAGTTCTTGGATGGATCTTATCGCCTTGCATGCAGCCGCGGTTGTGAGTTGCTCTGCTCTGAGATCTGCTTGCGTCCATAGAGCCAGATAATGAATCTTCCGAGGGGGAGGAAGGTCAGTGATGCTGGTGATGAGGAGCTGCAGAAGTGGAAACCTGCGGTACATGGATAGGAAGATGCTCTTGAGTCATTGACAATCCTTGTTTTATATGTCGTAGAGGAGTCCTGATCTTTGGATTTAGATGTGCTTTGACAATGGGCATCAGTATCGAGATGATAGATATTGGAATCTGCGACTCCCGCTTCAAAGGAGAATTCTTACCACCCTGTAAAATGATTCGCTCTCTCATAGTGCAACAACCCTCCTCCGCCCATCACGACCTCTCGCTGCTCACTCTGAATCTCATATTCCTTGACATCCCTCCCAATATAACCATCCTGATCCTCATCGCCCTTCGCATCAGCACTAATACGCAGTCGATCGTGCGGCTCAAGTTGACCTGCAAGATAGCCCTCCAAATACCAGCTCGGACACTTCTTCTCAGCAACTTCAGTTCCATCCGAGACGGAACACTCTCGAATACGTGAGAAGAGCCAAGCGTGTGCAATGATCGTGCGTCTTTCTGGACGCCATGGCTCATCCTGACCAGGCACAAGTACTTCGATCTCCACCTCAACGCGCTTCCTTTTTGCGTGCTGTCTTCTATAGCGTTGGTGGACCACGTTTCGAGCGTCTTTGCCTTGTCCGAAGATCAACATGCCCTGGACGTGATCTGTTGAGCGTCCTGAATGGATTAGTTGTGGGATGATAGTTTTTGAGTCGATGTGAGAGTGAACGCCTGGCAGGATGGCGGGTGTCATTCGGTTGATGATATCCTCTGGTGAGCCCTGCGAAAGGAGCTCGTTAGCGTTGTGCGCGATGCAGAATTGAGCTGCGGGCTCATACCTTGCCGATGAGATTCGCAAGTGAGCCTGGAAGCATCATGATGTCGTGCACGAAGGTAGGCTTGTAAGCTTCGATATCATAAACTCCTCGTCTGGCTAGCTTGGCCGCTGGAATCCGATTGCGTAGTGCTCGTTCGTAAGCGAGAGTGGTCAGTCCGGTGGAAGATGTCGGTATGGGAATACCTGAAGATGTGCATGGACTGGCAATTTGCTCTGGGATCTGCTCGTCGTCGCTAATGCCAAAGAGTGAGCTCTCGTTCATGATGGATGCTGCAAGCTGGAGCACATCTGCTTTGAGATTGACTGCATTGCCGTGGCTTGGAGGAAAAGATTGCTCGATTGCATCCAATGCATTATGTCGCGACGCTGGTGGTAGCTTCGAGTCAAGGTGCTCCAGAGTGCAATCGTGGTTCGGTGCAGGCTGTCCGCTTGTACATTCCATCGCAGCGCCTGTCCTCTGCAACTTAGGAGCCTGATCAGAATGAAAAAAGGCTGAAGTTGTATGATAGTTGACCTCGTTGCAACCGACACCTCTCCGGACCTAGAGTTGCACAGACTTTCACACCAAGTGAAAACGAACGTAGATGCTGAGTCATCCGCTGCGCTTTCCCCCAGCATGTGGTTGAGACGCCCTTGACCAGCTTGGACAGATTGCACAGAACCTGTGGCCTACCTTGGAGAGCCCGGGAGAGAAGCTCCAGGATGGTATCCCATTTCGCTCTTCCTGACCTGGATCGAATCCATATCGGCCTTGTTGAAGGCATGAGACATCGCCGAAGTGGATCTTGGCTGCCTTGATGTCGAGTAGTCTTGACCAAGCCTTGCGATGTCCAACTATGATGTCTTGCAAGGAGGGCCATTGTGCGGAGGCCATTCAGATATCAACCCGCATTCACTCTCGGGGCAGCGCTTGTGACAGTAGAAAGCCGTGTCTTCCAAATTCGGCATACCGCCTCACTTTACACCGTCAGTGAGGCGCTCGCTCTCGTTTCACATGCTCCACCACGATGATGATACGGCGGACACTTGTATCCAGGTCGCCGTCTCCGTGCAACACCGGCTGGCCGGGCATGTCGTCGACCAGGACTGCATGAAATTATTCTAGTCGGCGTATTTGTGGCGCTTGACCGGGCGGTTGCCACTGGAGACGAGCAAAGCATTGCGAGTGCAGCTGAGACAAGCCCAGGCACGTGAACAAGGCAGCATGCATGTGAAGACACATGCAGGCAGAAGTGAAGACGCGTGCGCAACTGGTTCGATCAGTTTCTAGTGCAAATACATGTACTTATTAATAATCAGTCAGCTGCGGCGAAAGGGCGAAAGGTGTTCACTTTGTCTCGTGCATGATTTCATCGCAGCAAGCGCGAAAGCGGCCCGAGTTCAAACCTAGTTCTGGTGCTACCGCCGCGAGCTCGTCACTGCCTTCCTTCATCAGAAGCTTGCCTCTCGACTTCCTCCTCGCCAACACTCACTTTTCTTCCACCACATCTTTCAAACTCCATCATCCGCAGTCGAGCAACACCTCCTCGACCACACAACACGCATCTCCCTCGACTCTGAAAGCGGTCGCTGCGAGAAAATCAGCGCGCGCGCAAGAACTGCATTCGGCGTTCGAATCCAGCGCCCCGACCCCGTCCACCACACGAGTCGACACAAACACAGATACCACTCCCCTACAGCGCCGCCATCATGTCTGCGGAGCCAGACCACAGCCAGAGCAAGGGCAAGGGCAAGGTCAAGCTCGACAATGACCCCAGCGGCAAGGAGCATCGCGAGGAGGACGCCACCGCAACCGCCATCCTCAAGAAGAAGAAGAAGCCTAACAGCTTGTTGGTGACCGACGCCACCACCGATGACAACTCCATCCTGGCGCTGTCCAACAACACCATGGAGCAGCTGCAGCTGTTCCGTGGCGACACCGTTCTCGTCAAGGGCAAGAAGCGAAAGGATACCGTCCTCATCGTGCTCGCCGATGACGACCTCGATGACGGCTCCGCGCGCATGAACCGCGTTGTCCGACACAACCTCCGCGTCAAGCTCGGCGACGTCGTGACTGTCAACCCATGTCCCGACATCAAGTACGCCAAGCGTATCGCTGTCCTCCCCATGGCCGACACCATCGAGGGTCTGACTGGCTCCCTCTTCGATGTCTTCCTTGCACCATACTTCCGCGAAGCCTACCGCCCGCTCCGACAAGGCGACCTCTTCACATGCCGCGCTGCCATGCGGACGGTGGAATTCAAGGTCGTCGAGATCGACCCGCCAGAGTATGGTATTGTGGCTCAAGATACAGTCATCCACTGCGAGGGCGAGCCAATCCAGCGTGAAGACGAGGAGGGCAATTTGAACGAGGTGGGTTACGACGACATTGGTGGCTGCCGCAAGCAGATGGCACAAGTTCGCGAGCTTGTTGAGCTGCCACTTCGGCATCCACAGCTCTTCAAGTCCATTGGTATCAAGCCTCCGCGAGGAATTCTCATGTACGGTCCTCCCGGTACTGGTAAGACGCTGATGGCGCGTGCCGTTGCCAACGAGACTGGTGCTTTCTTCTTCCTTATCAACGGACCAGAAATCATGTCAAAGATGGCAGGAGAATCCGAGTCGAATCTTCGCAAGGCTTTTGAGGAGGCTGAGAAGAACAGCCCGGCTATCATCTTCATCGACGAAATTGACTCCATTGCACCAAAGCGTGAGAAGACCAACGGCGAGGTCGAGCGCCGTGTCGTCTCTCAACTGCTCACCCTCATGGACGGCATGAAGGCCCGCTCCAACGTTGTGGTCATGGCCGCCACTAACCGCCCGAACTCCATCGATCCAGCCCTCCGTCGTTTCGGTCGTTTCGATCGCGAAGTCGACATCGGTATTCCAGATCCAACCGGCCGTCTCGAGATCTTGCAGATCCACACCAAGAACATGAAGCTCGCTGACGACGTTGACCTGGAGTCCATCGCCGCAGAGACCCACGGTTACGTCGGTTCCGATATTGCATCTCTCTGCTCAGAAGCCGCCATGCAGCAGATTCGTGAGAAGATGGATCTTATCGACTTGGATGAGGACACAATCGACGCTGAGGTGCTTGACAGCCTGGGTGTCACACAAGAGAACTTCCGCTTCGCTCTCGGTGTCAGCAACCCATCCGCACTTCGCGAGGTCGCCGTTGTCGAAGTGCCCAACGTGCGGTGGGAGGATATTGGTGGTCTCGAGGACGTCAAGCGCGAGCTCATCGAGTCCGTGCAATACCCAGTCGACCACCCAGAGAAGTTCCTCAAGTTTGGTCTCAGCCCATCTCGAGGTGTGCTTTTCTATGGACCTCCAGGTACCGGTAAGACTCTTCTTGCCAAGGCTGTCGCCAACGAGTGCGCTGCCAACTTCATCTCTGTCAAGGGCCCTGAACTGCTCTCCATGTGGTTCGGTGAGTCTGAGAGCAACATTCGAGACATCTTCGACAAGGCCCGCGCCGCCGCTCCTTGCGTTGTCTTCCTCGATGAGTTGGATTCCATTGCCAAGTCTCGTGGAGGCTCTGTTGGTGATGCAGGTGGCGCCAGCGACCGTGTTGTCAACCAGCTCCTGACCGAGATGGATGGTATGACCAGCAAGAAGAACGTCTTCGTCATCGGCGCAACCAACCGTCCAGAGCAGCTCGACAACGCGCTCTGCCGTCCAGGTCGTCTCGATACCCTCGTGTACGTTCCACTGCCCGACCAGCCAGGTCGTGAGAGCATTCTCAAGGCTCAGCTTCGCAAGACCCCAGTCGCGCCAGACGTCGACCTCGCCTACATTGCACAGAAGACGCACGGCTTCTCTGGTGCCGATCTTGGTTTCATCACACAGCGTGCTGTCAAGCTCGCGATCAAGGAGAGCATTGGCATTGCTATCGAGAACCAGAAGAAGCGCGAGGCAGAGGCAGGCGATGACACCAAGATGGAGGAGGATGTTGATGAGGAGGACCCAGTGCCAGAGCTTACCAAGCGACACTTCGAGGAGGCAATGAGCATGGCTCGTCGCTCGGTTACGGATACTGAGATTAGGCGGTACGAGGCCTTCGCTCAGAGCATGAAGAACTCTGCCGGTGGTAGCGCATTCTTCCGTTTCCCAGAGGGCGGCGAGAACGGTGCGGGTGCTCAGCAGCAGAATGGTGAGGACAATATTTATGACCATCATGACAAGTAGATGCTAACAGATTTAATAGGTGCTGGTGAGGAAGACCTTTACGATTAGGAGGCACATGGGATTCCGTTGCGATGAGAAGGCTACTCCTTGGCTTGGACGAGGGCCGTTTGCTACGCTCTACGAATATCATATGCGGCACGGCACGACATTTCGGTCGTGAATACCTGCATGGAGGGCGTTCACCATTTACGTCTTGAAACGGGTATGGATTGAAGGATGATAGAATGTTTCAATAGCTCGCCGCGCAGGCGAAGGACAGTGATTAAATGCAGTGTGTTAAACCGAACTCTGCCACTTCCCCTTGATGAGACTCGCTGCCAGTTGATCAGCGGTACCAGGCACACTGTGGCCGATTGTGCTGCTTCAGAGCTCGCATCGGAGTTCGACGCTGCCTTGTTCACATCGCATGACTTCTCTTAGATGCCTCGTCACGCCTATTCGAGTCACCGACGCGGCATTAGCAATCAGAAGATGCGTGAACGCGATCAGCTTTTGTCAGCATGGTGTGGCAGCCTGGTCGAGTCAACACACCAAACTCGATTCAGCAATCGTGCTAGCCTCTTTAGCCGCGGTTATGACGATGTCCCAATGCAAGTGATACATGTATGCCATTGTGTCTCCCGAATACTGGCTGCACGAAGCAAGCTTTGCTTATATTGGCAAAATCCACAGGTCCTTTCAACTTCGTACTATATCAACACCTCTCCCCATGCAAACACTTCGTCGTCTCGCTTCATTCTCAAGACACCTCTCCCCATCACCTCAGCCACCAAGCTTCACAATGGCAGACTACGCGAAAGTGCCGAGCTCGGCAAAGCTGAAGCCAAAGCCATTCAGAGCTGAAGTCGACCAGCAAAAGATCGATGACTTCAAGACACTTCTCAAGCTTTCACCAGTAGCACCTCCCGTCTACGAGAACTCGGACCCTTCAGTGACCGCTTCACGAAGATACGGAGTGCCTAGAGACTGGTTGCTCAAAGCCAAAGACCACTGGCTCAACACCTTCGACTGGCGAAAGCAGGAAGATTACATCAACTCTTTCCCCAACTACACAGCTGACGTCCAAGACGACGAGGGACACGACCTCACAGTACACTTCATCGCCCTCTTCAGCGAGAAGCCGGATGCAGTGCCTATAGCTCTCTACCACGGATGGCCAGGCAGCTTCCTAGAGTTTCTCCACATCCTCGAACTTCTCAAGAACAAGTACACTCCCACGACTCTACCATATCACGTCGTCGTCCCTTCAATCCCCGGCTATTCCTACTCGTCCGGACCACCACTAGACTTCGATTTCAGCCTTGAGAATGCCTCGTACGCTCTCAACAACCTGATGGTCGGCCTGTTCCCAGAAACCGGCTACCTCGCGCAAGGCGGAGATTTGGGCTCCTTCATCTCTCGTCATCAAGCAGCATCCTATGACGCTTGTAAAGGCATGCATCTCAACTTCTCACCTTTGTCTCGCCCGCAGAACGCAGACTCTCTCGAGACTTCGGAAATCGAGAAAAAAGCTCTTTCGCGAGGCCTCTGGTTCCGAGAAGTCGGCGTCGCATATTCCATCGAACATGGTACGAGGACGGCAACGATCGGACACGCCTTGTCTGCCTCGCCAATGGCTCTCTTGGCTTGGATTGGCGAAAAGTTCTTGGAGTGGAGTGATGCCGATCCTTCGCTCGATCACATTTTGCAATCGGTTACTTTGTATTGGATGACTGACACTTTCCCGCGATGCATTTACCCATATCGTGGCTCTTCTGGAGATGATGAGAGACCTCGTCAAGCTAAGGTTTCGGGCAGAGGCAGGGAGAGACCGTATGTTGAGAAGCCTTGTGGGTACTCTTTCTTCCCACTTGAGTTGGTTCCAATGCCGGTTAGTTGGGTGGCTACGAGTTGTAATCTGGTGTCCAGTAAGGTGCACCAGAGTGGCGGACATTTTGCTGCAATGGAGAAGCCGAATGAATTACTAGAGGATATCGAGGCATACGTGAAGAAGGCTTGGAAGTGAGGGTCAAAAAATCTCAGGCAGAAATTATTTCTCGTTGTTGCACATTCATTGAGTCTCCTGTACCTCCTCGCTTGCTCTGCAGCGCTTCTTCGATTTAGCGTTCCAACACAGCAATCCTAGCATCTCTTTCTCCACAATATCTAGCTAGTCTCTTGTGCGTTGTCGCCTGTTCTGCAGCGCTTCTTCGAGTTGGTCCAACACAGGAGTCTCAGCATCTCTTCTCCAAAATATCTAGTCTCCTGTGCGCTGTCGCTTGTTCCTCGGAGTCACGCCTTGTATACATGGATATACTTACCAAATTGCTTTGAAAAGAATGCATCTTTGCTAGCATTGTACATTTTCTCTGCGAAGTTTGCCATGCCCCAGATTTCCTTTGTTTCGACTTGAAAGGGCTTCAGGCCAGTGTGAGAAATCTTCATTGCCATGTCGGCGATGCGCGTATCGATACCGTTTTTGATGTGTTTCTTGGTACATTCGCCGCGCGGAAAGTGGAGGAGAAGGCGGTGCCTCAAGGGCGAGAAGGTCGCCTTGTTGACCTCGTGGATGCAGTAGACGACATTGCTAGAGGTGAGCCACTCCATAATTTGCCGCTTGCTGATGGCATACTGGCCGCAGAAGCTCTTTTCAAGCAATTCGAGATCGAGAGTTGCAGGAAGATTGATGTTAGGATGGCCGAACACGGGCTTCCTGGCTAGGACGCGCATCTCTTTGCCGGACATGCTCGCAGAGTATTGGGCAAGCAAAGTCTCCATCCTTGACACGCTTTGAGCGCCATTTGATGCCGCCATGGTGTCCTGAACAGCGCGGCGCGCGGTGTTGTCTGGAAGTGCAGCAGTCGCGCAACTACTTTGCGGCCAGCAAAGCCCCACTTTAGTGAAGTCGCGGAAGTGAGCTTTGTAGGGAGGCCCATACGTACCAGATTGTCAATACAGCACTTCTGAGCGCAGCGACAACAACGCAATCTTTGCCCCTTCAAGTTCTTTTTATTATATCTTTTTATATAGAGGATTTATAGGTTAATAATATAGGGCAAAGATACTCTAATTTGTATCTATTTTTAGAAAATAATAAAATTTATAGTCGTTACCTACTAAATTTATAGGATATATAGCCTAGAATTCTAATTTAGAAGTTTAACAATTTTAGCATTTTTTAGGCCTTAGCATACTATTTTTAGTAATCTAAAATCTAGATCTTATAGTTTTATCTTATAAAAATCTAAATTTCAATTTATATATTAGTATAGAAACTATTAGTAATACAATTTAGAAAGGAATATTATTTTCTTACTATATTCTCTTTAGTTTATCTTTTTATTTAGAAGAGTTATAGCTTAGTAATAGAAGACAAATATACTTTTACTTTTATATATTTTTAGAAAATAACTAAAACTACTATAGCTATCTACTAAGATTAGCCTAAAACTCTTAAATAAAGATTTTAAGATTTTAGTATTTATTAGGCCTTAGTATACTATTCTTAGTAATCTAAAACCTAGACCTAAAAGTTTCGTCTAGTATAAATATTAGTTGAGATTCTTATCTTAATACGCTTACTATTAGTCTTAAAATCCTAAAGCGAATATTCTTAAGAATTGTAGGCTTAGTAATTTAAAGTTTATAATTCTTAAGAATATTCTTTTTTAAGTTGTAAGACTATTTATAGCTTAGTTAAAGTAAAAGCCCCAATATAGATCCCTAGTACACTGCGATTAAGCGAGATAGCGGACGGGGGTAATCCCCGTAAGCGGCAGCTAGCTTGAAAGCGTTAGACGTAGACTTTTTAAAAGTGCGGATAATTCCTTTAGGCAGTACGCTAGCTTTAACCAGTTAGATCCCGTTTTTAGGGATTACCGCCGTCCGCTATCTCGCTAAATCGCGGTGTAGGTAAAACTATAAGGTTTAGGTTTTAGATTACTAAAAATAGTATACTAAGGCTTAAAAAACGCAAAAGTCTTAAAATCTTTATTCTAAAATTTTAGGCTAATATTAGTAGCTAGCTATAATAATTTTAGTAATTTTCTAATACTAGATTAAAAACAGAGTATTTTTGTCTTATATTACTAAGCTATAACTCCTCTAAAGAAAAAGATATACAAAAGGGAATCTAATAAGAATTTAAGTTTTAAATTCTAGATTATATAACTAATAGTAGCTATATTACGAGAAAAATCTCAAAATAGATTTTCATTAAGTAAAACCATAAGGCCTAGGTTTTGTATTACTAAAAATAGTATATTAAGACTTAAGAAAACGCTAAAATTCTAAAATTTCTTACTTAGAAGTTTAAGCTATATAGCTTATTAGTTTAGGAGATAACTACTAGAAATTTTATTATTTTCCAAAAATACATATAAATTAGAGTATCTTTATATTATATTATAAAGCTATAACTCCTCTAGATAAAAAGATATTTTAAAAAGAACTTGTAGGGGCAAAGATTGCGCTGTGAATTCTTCATTGACAATCTGGCATATATGGAGCTCCGTCGCTTTGACTCTCCAAGGGCGCGGCCGTTGCCGATGATAAATCTGTTCAAAGCTCGCCCTTCCCTCACTTTCTCTTCCTCTTTTCTACACACCATCTCCAGCGCAGGCAGATCGCGCCGACTTCCTTTCGCAACCTACCACACACAGACTCGCAAGCTTCTCACCAGCTGCACTCTTTTCAACCTCCTGCCAAGCCCGGTGTCCGCTCGCGAGGCACCGTCGACGTGCGTTTCCGACACGCGCAGTGACGGCTATTCGGCTACGTCCGGCGACAATTACAAAGTGAGGCCGGAGAATATACCATCAGCAAGTGGTGCCTGGGCGTGGGCGGCTCAGGGCCTTGTGTGGCTTCTCGCTGGCAGCGGCGCATGCGTCACCACGTCGAACGACCTCGTGGGCCTGGAACGAGGTACTACCGACGGGCTAGCACATTGCCGGCCATGCCTTGCGCGAATGCCAGCTGGGGGAGGGGACGACAGCGGTGGACCGTGGAAGCAGTGGATCGCTGGACGACTGTGTTCGAACGAACGCTAGACGAACACTGTGAACGCATCGTTTGCCCCTTCTGCCGGCAGCCCAGCGTTCCCCGTCGTGTAGCCTCGGATCAGCAGAGAAGTATGCTCATCACCACATCACCCTCCTCTTCCCTCATCCTCCCCACCTCATGTTCGTCTCACAAACACCAGACCTATTTGCGTGGGAGGCATTCGGCCTCCCGGATGCTAACACCCAGGCCATCGTATGTTTGGTAAACGCGCCGAGCAGCGGAGGCATTTATACGATCGAATAGCAGATAGCACATATTGCGACCAGTAATTTCGCGCCAAGGCAGATTTGAGGCCGCCCGTCATACAAGTGTACCACTTGCGCAGCGACTGCGCAGCGATTCCATCTGCCAGCACCTTGGACAGGAAAAGTTTCGTGCGCATCTTCACGACAACATGATTTCTTGCGAACACTAGGCACACACCGAAGATGAGGTGAAATGGGCACGAGGCGAGCAAATAAGGAGCGCGATATTGCTAGACTACTTCTGTCAAACATATCGTTCACCCTACCGCTCGAGCCCCAAGTCTAACCACCCGCCTCCCAATCTTGTGCATGCCAGTCTCCGTGATCCTCAGCACCTCCCTTAGCCGCAACCTTAGCAGCTTCTCGAGCCAACGTGCTTGCTCCGAGATTGCTAGTTTGTGTCGCTGCGTCTGCAGTGCCCATCCAGTACAGCATCATGATGACCAGCAGATGCAAAGCCACGAGGTAGAAAGCGAAAAGGTTTCGACTTGTTCGCGTGGCAAGCACCATGCGTGTTACTCGGAAGACAGCACGTTCCGGCAGTGACATTCGCTTGAGTGCCCGGGCACTTTCTCGGCCTCGAAAGGCTTGGAATGGGGAGATGTTGGCTTCGTATGCGCTTCGGTATCGATCCATAGACATGCCGCTGGGTGTATCTGCCGCGGAAACTGCCACAGTGGACGCATTGGGATTTGCACCATAAGCCGCGCCAGATGCTGCTGTTCTGTTGTACGTGCTGACGTATCGCGTCTTCTCGTACAAATTCAGGTTGTCTTTCTGCAGACTTGCAACCTCTGATCGCAAGCCCGACACAGTTTGGTACTGCCTTTGGAGTTCCTGCTCAAGCTCGCCAATCTTCTTCTTGAACCGGTCGCGCTGCGCAGTGACCATGGGTAGAATGCCTGAGCCACTACCACCACCCTCACCAGCTCGGAGCGCATCGAGAGTGCCACGAGGCGAGTGCGAACCACCTGCACTCTGTGGGTCGAAGCCGCCGATGATCGACGAGGTCGGCGATGGACCTCCTCCGCCTCTTCGCATGCTTCCGTACTGCGACTTCGGGTAGCGTGATGTGTAAGTTCCTGCCACTGACATGGACTCCCACGCATTCGAAGCTTCTTGCTGTGTCTTCTGAAGATCATTCTCCAGAGTCGCGTTGAGCTTCTGTGTCTTTTCGAGCTCCATGTTCGTCACGGATAGATCTTCTTGCAGCTGCTCCAACCTTCGCTGCAATTCTTGATGCGACACTCGCATTTCCGTAAGCTCGTTGCTGAGCTTCTTGTTTCTCGCAACAAGCAGCTGCTCAAGACTTTCTCCAGACTTGCCGTTCGTATGCGAGGAATCGTCGCCGTCTGCTTCTACATCCTCCACGCTGGCGAATTCGATCGATCTTAGCATGTCGAGCTCTCTCTTAACTTCATCGTAGTCGCTCCACTTCTGCACCTTGGTTTGCAGCGACTCGCGGTCAGCTTTGAGTGAGCCGAGTTCACGCTCCAAGCTTCGCAGCTTCGTCTCCAGCTTCGTCCTGTCGGCATCACGATCGTATCGTGCACTTTCAATGCGGCGAAGCAGCGATGAGTTTTCGGATCGTAGTCGCAAATAGGCAGGATCGTCTTCCACGGCAGTGCTTCTGGCTGAGCTCTTCGATTGACTTGTAGCTTGGGCCAACTCCAAACGAAGCTGCTCATTGCGCGCCTCGACCTCGGCAAGACGAATATTTGCCTTCTCCAGCTCTGAGTTCACAATTTCCAATTCAGCTGCGATCGCAGCATTGCGACCTGTGTCTTGCGATTCCTCACCCGACTTCTCCAACCTTTGTGATACTTCATAGCTGGCTTTCAGTTCTTTGAGAAGTCTGTCTTGATTTTCTACCTTCTCTTCAAGACTCTTCTCCTTCGCAGTCCAGTTATCCTCCTTCTCCTTCAGTACTGCGGACCACGATTCTTCAACCTCTTTCATCTTGCTGTCCTGTGACCCTTCAAATGACTGTCTCTTGTTCCGCTCTGCGTCCAGCTGTTTCTCTGACTCCTCAAGCTGAGTATTCAACTTAGATACCTGCTTCCGTAGCTGTTCGTTCTCCGACTCCAGTCTCGGAAGCACCTCGTCTGCTGTGACCAGTGAATCGATCGATGCTTCGAGTAACGGATATGGATCTGGTGCTTCTGACAGCGGCGAATAGGCGGACATGAATGCCGCAGAAATGGTCTTATTGTGGTTGGTGAGGACATCGATGTATCCCTGGTACATCTTGAGCAAGTCCTTGATGCCGCTCAGCTTGTCTCCGTCGTCCATTTTGCGAAAGTCTTTTGTCTTGGCTGCAACCTCCTTCCGCTGTACGAGAGACTCTTTTTGCTGGTTGACCATCTCCGATGCAGTGCTGTCCAGACTGGAGACCAGCTTGGTGAGATCGAGTGAACGCCATGCTGCCACCGCCTGCTGGAATTTGTTGCCGGCTTCATTTGCATGCTGCGGCTGCGTCTCCGGCTCGTAATCTGCGTCTTCCGCGCCGCTCAGCGCATCATCGCTGTGCTCTTCTGTCGTGCCCACCATCTTCAACGCGCATCAGGAGCCCGATTCGGAGGAGACGCGTGGCTAGAACTAGAACTGTATCGAGCGTGGTCTGACTTTCGCAGTGGATGTCTGGTATTTATGGTATTTCCAGTCTCAGCCGTGAAATTGACCTATCTCACTGCCGTTTCAATGGCGCCGCACAATCAGCAGGGTTGGGTTGTTTCTAGGTAGGTTGGTGGTCTACCTGTATATCCCTCGTCGTCCACGCGGAGGTCACTGCGCAAGCTCGCCCCAAAGTCAATCCACTTCCAAGTCTCGACTAGTAGGCCCTGCCTATGCCCATGTCCTGCACTGCCATATGTACGACAACTACAACAACACCAGTGTCAGCGCGATGAGACCGATTTTGAGGCTGCAATGGAATCTCAGGATGGTTCCAATGCAGCCACGTCCATCACCGAGGACGGCACGCCTGGATGCTATACTTTGAGAGAGATTATTCGGGACGTGCCACTATCCACCGACGAGAATGGCGTGCAAGCATATATTACGTGTGTCGACGCATGGAATGCCAATTTATATATCGGCACATCTTCTGGAGAAGTGCTGCACTATGTCTCCATACCCCCCGACCCGAGCGATGAGAGTGGTCAGCCAGTATACATCTTCGCGACTAGAATCGAGCCAGGATATACGGCCCTGCAGACCGGAGCGGACAAAGGAGTGAAACAGATACTGCTGTTACCAAGTGCTGGGAAGGCTTGTATCGTGTGCAATTCCACGCTCACATTCTACACACTGCCCGAGCTGAGTCCAGCCTGGGCTGCAAAATACACTCAGAATGGCTGCCTGTGGGTCGGCGGCTTAGATCGCAATGGATCAGAAGAAGAGAGCGGGCAGAAACACAACGGACCTATAGCAGTCATTTGTCTGCGATCAAAGATACGCTTGATACGCATTGGAGACGATCCACGGAGAATCAGAGACATTGAGCTTGGGGGTGTTGGCGCACTGGAGAGGAGAAGCGATGTCGCTTGCGTTGCAGATGGAGAATCGTACTCACTTTTGGATGTTGTCAATCAACGGAAAAATACCTTATTCCCCATATCTTCCTTGAGTATTCCGAGCCCAGTTCCGACGCAGCAGGAGACTCTTGCTCCGCTACCTCAGCAGCGACGCCCCCCATCACGAAGCTTCTCCTCTCGGAGTCCAGCAAGGGAAGGACGGTCGCATCAGAGGATTGTCAGCCTAGGAGGACAGCCACAGGGCAATGATCGTCTTCGACCCGATGGCAACTCGCCCTGGCCTGCAAGGAAATCATCGAGGCTGGAGGCTGAATCTCCTGCCCCGCCATCCAGCAGAGAAGAAAGTCCCAAGAAGACAGAGAATGCGCCTGAAGCGCCGTCAACAGAACCCACCGAGCCAGCGACAGCCGAACCAAAAGTGGTACCAGAAGCTCCGCTGAGAGCGAACATCGTCACACCTACGCCAAATGAGTTCTTGCTCACCACAGGCACCAAAAGGAGCGATCCCGGCGTTGGCTTATTTGTCAATCTTGATGGCGACGTAGTTCGGGGCACCATGGAATTTGCAAGCTATCCCCAGTCTCTTGTTCTAGACGATGGCGATAATGCTTCCCTGCCGTCAAATGAAGCGGCTGAAGGATGGGTCCTGGCAATGGTTCAACAGAAGGTCATTGACAAGCGCCGAAGGTGTATCGAAATTCAAAGATGGGATGTAGATCCCGGAGAGGCACACAGACGCAAAGAAATCCTTGCTCTGGGAGACATTGAAGAGACTCTCGATGCTGAAGCTGCATTTTTTGGATATGGACTTCGCAATGCGAGACAGTCTTCCGAGCTTGCTGTCACGGGAATCAGTACCAGTCTCCGTCTAAGGCGATTGAAGGTCAAAGACGCAATCGACTCAGAAGCTGACCAGAGGCGTACGGCAGAGGAAGACAAGCTTGCCTCGCGCTTCTCTCAAGTCAGGGTCAATGTACTGACATATGCTGTCGATCGTGTATCATGGCTTGTGCGAGAACCAATGTTACTGCAGCTGGACAAGCAGCTCAACCTTGCTCTGGCGAAAGCCACAGACGACGTTCTAGCTATTGATGTGCCGGTGGTGCAGCGCGTAGTAAATGGAGTCCGTGGCCAAGAACCGCGAGATGAACTGGAATTCGTCACACTCACATACATTCGGCAGAAAGCAGCGCTGCTTCTGTTTGGGAACCTCATCCTTCAGACCGCAGGCGGTGTAATCTCATATGAACATGATAAGCGACGGACTGAAGATGCCTTGACCGCCGGCGAAATTGACCCAAGGATCGTATTGACACTGGTTCCACCTTTCGATGAGGAAATTTCGGAAGGACCCGGCATTTGGATGCCTCAAGGTCTGCGTGATACTGTGGACTGGCTCAAAAATGGTATCGACTTTTCCAGGATAGACCGGAATACCAAAGGTCCTTTCGGCGAGAATATACTCAGCCTCATCAAGCGCTTTCTGATGACATGGCGTAAGAAGAAGGGCTTCGGAAGTGTTGCCGACGAGGCGAATGTCTTCCAGACCGTCGACGCTGCATTGATCCGTGTCCTGCTCTTGCTCGACCAGAACACGCCACGAGGACCAGCATCAGCAGGCTCTACTCGCGCTGAGCTCAACGATGTTGTAGACCGCGGAGTTGACTGCTTCGATCGGGCGATCAACCTTTTCGAGGAGCACCATAGACTGTACGTTCTGAGTCGCCTCTATCAGAGCAAGAAGAATGTCTCGAAAGTGCTTGCCACCTGGAGGCGTATCCTAGATGGCGAGAAAGATGCTGGAGGCGAATTGATTGAGGGTGAGCATGAGATGCGAAAATATCTCTCCAAAATTCGAGATGCAGGCCTTGTTCAAGAATACGCTGCCTGGCTAGCAAATCGGAACCCGAAACTTGGCGTTCAGATATTCGCCGATGACAGCAGCAGAGTCACATTCGAGCCCTCACAAGCAGTGGCGATCCTCAGAGAGAAGGCGCCGGGCGCTGTGAAGGACTATCTCGAGCACCTGGTGTTCGGGAAGAATCACGTCCAGTATGTGAATGATCTCATCGCATTCTACCTGGATACCGTTCTACACCAGCTTGAGAACAGCAAGGAAGCTAGACAGACGCTGCTCGAATCATACGAGATCTATCGGGCACAGTATCCTCCGAAGCCCACCTACTCACAATTCATCACCGACAACGCAGTCGAAGCAGAATGGTGGCACAACCGCTTGCGACTTCTACAGCTCATTGGTGGCAGTCACGGCGCAGCATCCAAGTACGATGTCCATGCTCTGGGAGAACGACTCGCACCATACAGCAACGAACTCGTGCCTGAAATGATCATTTTGAATGGCCGCGAAGGCAAGCATGAAGAGGCATTGCGGCTCCTGACACACGGCCTCGGCGATTACGACACTGCCATACATTACTGCCTTCGAGGCGGCTCCAGTATCTTCCACCCATCGGTTGGTCTCGGTGTAGACCAAGAGCTGCCGTCTCACGAAGAACAGTCCACGCTTTTCAACCACCTTCTGTACGAGTTCTTCAACATCGAAGACCCGAATGAGCGTCTCGAGCGCACAGCGGAATTGCTCGAGAGGTACAGTGGATGGTTTGATCTTCTTGCAGTCTTGGATCTTGTGCCCGATGACTGGTCAGTGGAGCTGGTCAGCGGGTTTTTGGTGCATGCTTTCAGAAGACTCGTGAGAGAGAAGAACGAAACAGTAATTGTGAAGGCGCTGTGTGGTGCGCAGAACTTGCAGAAGAATGTGCAAGCTATCGAGAAGATTCAGGGACTTGGGCCAGTAATTCAAGTGGATGATATGACTGATGCTGCGGCGGTAGGCTGAATGTTATGTAGGACCAAGTCACCATATGTCGGTATCCAGACTCGGCACTTTTATTTCTACTGATAGAGAAGACAAGTGCCTCCTGACTTGTAGATTGGTTGATCTGGTTGGAGGTCGGCCCCGAATTTCGTGTCGATCAGGCTCTGGGTTGCAGCCCGAAGCTCGTGGGACGGACAAATTTCTCGTCCGCGCGAGGTGTCGCAGAAGACCAGTCTTGATATAATACAGAGCAATGCGGTCAGTCATGAAGAGTATAAAGGTACGTGTAGCTCGCAGAGTTGCAACAACTTCACGGCACAAAAGACCGTTCGAGTTTCAAATCTACACCCCCCATACCCAACAGCCCTTCGAGACATTGCCATGGGTGAGCGAGCCCTCGCCAGCAGCTATTCTATCACTCACCTCCCACTAATACCGTCACATACCCTGGTGCCATCACCGCAGCTGCCACCCAGCAAGCTCCTCCTCCAAACCCATCACGTCGGGCTACAAGCAAGGCCAATGAACCTCCCTCGCCCCCAACGACGCCCTCAGAGTCTCAAACAATTTTGGGCCGCGTTCTTAACAAGCTACTTCAAGCTCTAGACTACGTATACGAGGATTTTAGATTTTGGCGGAAGTAATGGATCTCATGCCCCGAACTTCGAGAATGGACGTGTCGATCGAGAAATTTTGGATTTTTTGCTATGAGGATACATTGGGGATATGTTCAACAAACCCTGGCGGAGGAGTTGGATGCTGAGGTCACAAATAGGATGAAATTGGAGAGAATTGAGGAACATGATGGCGATGGAGATGTCCGTGGTGTTGCATTCTCTCCTTCCAATGAGGTTCTAGAGTTCACCAATTGACCTTTTTTCCCTTGCAGATCAGCAGACTGCAGTACCCGCCAGGAAGGCGCTTGGGATGAATCGAAAGATAGTGGTGCGCATCAAACAAGTACCGGCATGCATCACGTTCACTCAAGCTGCCAAAAACCAGGAAGCCCACATCAGTACACGAGGTCTGTAGTCGACTTAACGATGAGTGATCTCGGGAAAGGCTGTCTCGTCAACGCGCGTTCTGACATGGTCACTCTTGTTCGTATTCCTTGGCGGGTCCGTATCGGGAAACAGTATTCTAGGGAAAACCAAGACTATACCTTGTCAATGATGTCGGCTGGATGACGCCCCGGATAATACGGGCGACCAGGATAGTGAGTTTATTCATCAAGAGGAGTCGAAGCTCCAGACTTGGCCTAGGCCGCGGTAGATATAAATACGCATCTGTTGCGGCGACCAGTTCACGTAGAGATATCACAGCATTCCCAGGCCGATCGGATTTCGTCCACGTCGACAACGACCGAATATACCGGACATTCTAGCTCGTCTATCAACATGCGATCGGCAGTCGTGCTCCTAACCTCCCTCCTCTGCTCCTCCGTCTCTGCGACACTCTACTTCAATGCCACGCTCTCCGGCACCAGCCTGACAGTAAACAGCTGGGACGACACGAACAACGACGGCAAGCAACAACCACAAGACATCATCTGCAGCGGTAAAGACCTCCAGCCCGTCTCCTCATACCAATGGATGGTCAAATGCACAGGCGGACCAGACAAGCGCAAGTCAGACACAGTTTTCGACGTTTTCCTGGAGCCAAATACGAAGAGGTTCTTGGATGTCATATACCGATATTCCAACCCTGATGCCTCCGCGCTGAATGTTGGAGACAATGCGGACCAGTTCTTGTTCAATTTCCGGGTTGGAAGCGTTGATGGGAAGTTCTTCAAGAGTCGGGAGTTTGCTGCTCAGCAGGACATCTTGCATTTGGTGAAGCCGGAAGCGTTGAAGAATCCTTGCGATTCTTTGGACTCGTGCTGAAGGAGGCCTCGAGATTTGTCATGTCTAAGGTAACGGTACTGTATGTATATGCACGGAGAGATTCGAAGAATCGAGCCAAAAAAGTTGCCTGATTTTTCGCCCATGGCTAGCTGTCCCGTTGACGTGCTGCTGTATATCGGTCTTTATTTTGGCTGGGAGCATCGTCTGCGGTATTGTTCTCGTGGCGTCTGGGAGCCTCTCTTCTATGCTTCGCTTGATCGCGAGAGGAAAACAGGTGTGCCTACCACTCAGAGAACAGACGCACCCCGCTCCATTTGAGCGCATTCTGGAGGCATCACATCCAGCGTATCAAGTAGAAAATCTGGTACTCTGCCTTCCATTCGAGATGATGTGTCTGTGAGCGTGAAGAAGTCATGTGGAAAGAATCAGAGGAAGAAGGTCGAAGTCCGCCAAGCCTTGCCCAACGCCAAACACTCAAGCTCAGACCTCAGGCGAAGTGAAGGCATTTCTTTCTCTCCCACACCAGCAACATGCCTCCCGAATCTCAAGACAACTCTCCACTTGGAGGCGAACAATATGAACAAGAGCACGTCCACGAAGTCTACGAACAAATCGCCTCACATTTCTCATCCACACGCTACAAAGTAAGCGCCACACCCACCATCTGCTCTCTCCTCCTCACCTTACTTACGAAATCGCTCCAGCCATGGCCAATAATCGAACGCTTCCTCCAGAACCTATCCCCAGGCTCAATAGGCCTAGACATCGGCTGCGGAAACGGAAAATACCTCACCGTAAACCCCAACATCTTCATAATCGGCTCCGACCGGTATGCATACGACCACATCCATCTCTATATGCATCTGTCGGTAAGTTAACTAACAGGTAAGAGATCTGCAAACCTCATCACCATCGCGAAAAACCATCAACCACATTCCGTCATCGTCTCAGATATTCTCGACTTACCGCATCAACCTTCGAAATTTGATTTCGCGATTTCTATAGCTGTCGTGCATCATCTTTCCACACGGGACCGAAGGATTGAGGCTGTACGAGAGATTTTGAAGACGTTGAAGGCGAAGGATGGGAGGGCTTTGATTTATGTTTGGGCTTTGGAGCAAGATGGTAGTCGGAGGGGGTGGAGTGAGAAGGATGATCAGGATGTGATGGTGCCGTGGGTTATGAGAGTTTCGAAGAAGGCGAAGAATGATGATTCGAATGGTGCTCCTGCCGAAGATCGGACGTTTCATCGGTACTATCATCTCTATAGAAAAGGTGAGTTGGAGGATGATATCCATGGCGCTGGTGGCGAGGTTGTCGAGTCTGGCTACGAGAAAGACAATTGGTGGGCGGTTGCCACACGAAAATCAGCTTAGAGGCTTCGTCGGAAGGATACACTTGGACCAAGGCCATGTGGCAGGTATCAACAATCTATATCATCTCTATTTGGCCCAGACCTGGGCATCGATGACCGCTCGCCGGGCGCCTTTAATCTGGGCAGCCGCAGGCGGCAGATCTAGCACTTCCAGTGCTCTCTTTCTGGCCGGAATGACCTTCCAATCCTCCCAAACCAACCAACGCCGTCGCTGAAATGGAGACAAGAAAAGGTGCCAATGGATAAGCAGGACGAGATCAAGGCTGATGCTCGCGAGCCTGCTCTTTCTGATCGCGCATGTGCTCAAGTTTCTCTTGACGGATGCACCACAATGTCCACAATACCCCAATCACAGATGAGCATAGGGTGATGTAATAGGCACTTGCATAGCATTCCTTGCCTTCGTCGCATTGACGCTCGCCGCCGTCCCAGGTGGAATGCTTGTCAAGAATAGAGCCATAGAACAAATTGAAAATATTGCCGCTCAGAACTGGCGACCAAGTCATACAGCCCCAATTGATGCCGAGTCCTGTCGGACCAAAAGCATCGGCGACCAAAGCAGGATATACGCCAAAAAGGACACCATAGGCGAGACCTGTGGATCCTGAGAGGAAATATAGATGCCTAGGATCTTCCAGTGTTATCGCAACGACCTGCGCTCCGACAAAGATTGCCGCGGAGGCAACCAATGTCCAGAATCTTGAGGCATGATTGTGGATGAGCCAATCCGAACCAATGCCACTGGCAAGTCGACCCAGGAAGGAGCAGAAGGACAGAATGCTCACGTGCATAAGCTGGCGCTTCATGATGAATTCCTTGCTCGCGCTGTCATCGTAATGATGCCAAAGCGACCGAGCGTTGTTGCCAATATTGTTGATAGTCATGAGTCCGACACCACAAAGCAAAGCAAGCAGTACAAAAAGCTGCCAGAATTTTGGAGTTCGGAGTAGCGCCCATCCTGTGATTTCTGGCCGATTGTGGTTCTGATAAGGATTCTCCGCGTCCTCGATATCGTCTCGAATATCGCCAGGTCCACTAGAGCCTGACGAGAACAAGGACGATCTCTCATCGGCGTCTCCATTGGCAGTGCTGGCCTTGCTTGCAGATCGACTATGACTTGAGCTTTGCGTACTTCGCGTGCTCGTATTGTGCAAGCGTGTGCTATCTCTACGAGGCTTCTTGAGACTCTGCTGATCTAAATCCTCTGCAGGTACAACACCATAAGCGGCGTTGTGATCGTCATCTCGCCCTGTTGGCACGATGCGCAAAAACAGCATGCCGACAAAGGTCATGACGGTCGTTCCGTAAGCCAGCAGCTTGAGATAGCCGCTAGTATCGCCGGGAAACAAAATTCCAGCTGTTGTGGTGTAGAAGAAGGCACTCAATCCAAAAGCACTGAGTGGGAAAGCCGTCGCAGTTCCACGATGGGTTGGCCAATTACTCGCAGAAGCTTTGATGGCAGCAGAGAATGCCGTACAACCTCCCATGCCAGTCATAAGCGCAGAAAGACACAGCAAGGGCATTCCCATACTGCCAGCGCCCCCATCGTAGGCACTCTTCAGAGCAAAGTATCCCAATGCCAGACATATACAGCCCATCAAGACTCCCCAGCGCGGCCCTTTTGAATCTATTAAGATGCCTCCTGGTATTCGCCATGCATTTGGCATTCGCTGGCAGAAATTCCCTATCAGGTTCGTTTGGGTTGCGTTGAGTTGTAGGCGCGCAGCGAATTGTGGAGCCCAAGCACTGAAGCCATAATTCGTTCCTATTAGTAGCATGTCAGCCATTGGACCTTCAACTTTGGAGACTATGCATGCGTCGGCATACCGCAGCTCAGGGCAATGATGGTTGCCGCAACAGAGGCAAGAATGCGCGCTTTCCGATGCCCCTGCTCGGCCGATCGATCTGGGTTGTGCATTTTGTTTGGAAGGCGGTCGGCGTGCTCACTGCTTGGAGGTCACAGGGAGAGGAGCGCATTCGTCCAGCGAAGGCCAAGAGAGGGCAGGGCATGCGATAAAGGGTGACTTCGGGCAAGAAGGGAAGGCAAACGAGATGGCCACGCGTGGTACAGAGATAGGTAGATGGATGAGGTGGAAGTGACAAAGACGCAATTGGGCAACGGGAAAGACGGTATCCATCCATCGCTGGAGCAAGCAAGCAGTCAAGCCACGTCAGGCTGCGGGCGAGGGCGAGGCCGAGAGACTGCTCACTTCAACAAATCTCAATGCCCGAGCCGCCGAGATAGGCAGGCACGCAGCAGAACATCCTTGCACGGTACCGGCACATCGGCGTCGGCACGTGAATCAGCTTCCGAAGCTTAGCCGACCATGACATATGACATCTCTTCTGCCGCACTTCGTCTTCCTCCAACCCACATGTATGTCGTCTCCTTGATCGCCTGGCCCGATCTATCTCAATGCCATACTCGGTGTGCTGCGCTGCGAGAAACACGTGTGCATGAAGCTTCTTGGGAGGGCACAATCATCTCTGCTCGACTACCCGTCTCATCGAATCTCGCACCGATCGTCTGGACTTCGCAAATGTCACTTCTGCTGGCGGCGTGATCCAGCCCCTGCCGCTCGCGACCTGCATCACTTCGAACCACAGATTCGCCATCTTTCGATATCCCTGCGGGTTGGGATGCAATCCGTCCGCCAGATCTGTTCCGTCGACACCAATACGGCTCATATCGACAGTCATGACTTTGAACCCAGCATCCGCTCTAGCGGCTACGACTTCGCGAATCCCACGATTGATCATGGGCATGAATTCCTTGCCGGGAACGTCGGACGTGATGATTTGCGCGACCAAGACAGTCACATTTGGAACGGCATGCACGACCATGTCTATGAGCTTGCCGACATTTGAAGCCGCAGCTTCTGCAGACTTCGGCTGAGGAAGGATGTCATCGCAATCGTTGGTCCCAGCATGGATGAAGACCACATTAGGCTTCAGATAGAGGCTGACGTACAGGTCGTACTCGATATCAGTTGCAAGCTTTGCTGCCGAGTAGCCTGGATATCCTTCGTGAAGATTGTCGCTCATCGACCCAGAGTCTCGTGTACCTGTTTTCCGTCAGATGTTGCGAGCAAACTACGAGCAGAGAAACACTTGCCAATGAAGAAGATCGGGCGCTCCTTGCAGTCGGCCTCCAAACGATTCCATAAAGGCAGGCGATAGCTGTTTTGCTCTGGATCTCCCCAACCAGCTGTGATACTGTCTCCTATCGCTAGCATCCGTAGTGGAACATCTCGTGCAACTGTACAGGCGCCTTGACTGCTACTGTCCACTGCATAGTCTGAGCAAAAGCTCGACGAGATGGACCACAAAACGCTGCAGAGGAGTCCAAGGATGCCAGACATCTGCTTCAAGCGGCAAAATGGTCGGCTCCGTGGCTAAGGGATTTTGTTCCAAGTTGTCCTCCTTCTCCGGGCATCAGCTTTCATATTTGGTAATTCTGATCTGAAGACGATTTAGAAATTTGGGAACTGCAAACTTGTGGCTGTTCCGTCGCGTCGTGCGATCGCGCTGTGAATTGCCCTAAGACCTCGGTAAGCTAATAAGGTATGATTTTGTACACGGCTTAAAGCTTAACAGGCCGCTAGCCCATCACCTCGAGCCACGATAATGAGGATACTTCAATAATTCCTACAGCTCTGTTGTATACGCGTAGCCAAGCCTGAAGACGGCTTGGACCTCCAAACCAGGAGGAACTGTTCGAATCCTACAGCTACTACTCCAATCCCAAACCCCTACAAGGAAGAGTGAGAATCCGAGGGTGGCCAATCATCAAATTCCTTTTAGATATGTATCTGTCGGACAGCAGGAGGAGTAATACTGAGGAAGCGAATGTTTCTCGCTCCCATAGCCGTGAACCTACAACAGAAGTCATCAAATCACCTTCTTTCTCCAGGTCCAGGTCATTAGTCTATAAAGATCTTGTAGAGAATCGAATTCCACGGCTACAGAGACAGAAGGTTTCTCGTGAGTTAAGGAATAGGTGAAATTTGGACGTGGAGCTCGGGACCTGATTCGAGATATAGCGGTTGAGGCTGCGGTTTGGGTTCGCGAGATTCTTTGAGAGGTAGTGGTGCGGGAGAGGACTGCTGAGTCTTGGGTGCTGGGTTGGTGGAGACTGGGTGGAGCTTCCACGTGGGGTTCTGAGAAGATGCTGGAGGCATTGTCTTCGTTTTCGCCGTCTTCATCTTCGTCGTGAGGACTGCTGGTCGACTTTTTCGAGTTCTGGTGAGGATTCGTGAGGTTCTCTTATTTGTGGGAAGTCTCGCTGTTCGAGTTCTACTTCATCTGGTGACTGCGGGAAAGTGGGTTTGTGTCGGGTAGTAACACAACGCTAAGAAGCCATAAGCAGGAAAATGGTAAGATACATGGAGAAAGAGATGGAATAAGTTGCAACTGTGTCCGCTACTAATACCGTTGCTATCTTGAGGAGTCCAACACAAGGAAACACAGTCAGGTCAGGTCAGCCAGGCTATAATATCAAACAAGAAACAAGTCGCTGTGGTATCACAACATAAAGAGGCCTCATCCTGCAGCAAGTAACTTTCCTTCTGTCATCCGTCCTTGTCGACCTGTGTCTCGGCCACACACCAGGTCATCGCTGCCGAGGCGATGGTGATGACAGTGAGTCGATTTGGTGTGTTCTTTGTGGCCGGCTTCTTCCAAGCAGATGAGGTAGTTGCAGTGGCGATATAGATTAGTGACATTAAAAAGGTCTCTCCGCTCGCGACGCCAACCGTACGATCTCAGCCCGCTTGATGACCGCAACGCCGGCGTTGTGAGCGTTTAGAAGTTGAGCACTAAAAAGTGCTTACCTCTGACAACAACCCGCGCCTGCTTTGCCAATGCCAAGCCCATCACAGAAACACCATGCTCAAAACACAGCCAAAGCCAACGGCGTGGCTCTTTTAGCCTCGGAGTGAAAAGCCGCCCTTCTTGCGGCCCTTCTCCTCGATCGGCCGACCGCTTTCGATTCGTGCCTTCTTCTCTTCGAGCTCTTGTCTCTGGCGGTCGAGTTGCTCCTTCATCTCGCGATGTCTGGCGTAGAGCTCTTCTTCACTTTGCTTCAGCTTGCTCTCCTTTTCTTGCACCTTCTGCTGGAAGACCATCTTCATCTCGAGCTCCATCTTGGCGAGCTTCTGCTCATGAAGTGAGCGCTCTTCCTCCTGCTTGACTGCTGGGTTGACCTCCTTGAAGACGCTTGGGTCCTGTGCAACACCCATTGCAGTGAGCTTGTCAGATCGGTAGTTCTCGTACAGGAAGTTGTTGGTGTGTTCCTTGAGATCTTCCATGTGGGTCCGGATGAGCATCTGTCGCAGCTTGACGAAGTCACAGTGCTCCTCGTTGTCGACCTCGATGACACCCCATGGGTAACGACGGCCACGGACCTTGCGACCCTCTGGCGTCGAGACCTCGGTGTTGGCACCAACAACCGCAAACGGGACCTTGGACATGATCTCGTTGTTCTCCGCGATGGTCTCCTCATCATCGAGCTCGTATCGTGGGCCCTCGAAGATGTGGATGTTGTGATGGTGGATATCGGCCAAGATCTGTCTTCTCGTTAGCCATCTTTACAGTGCATCGCAAGTTACCGCTACTTACACGCTGCTTGAAGGCCGCAATCTCCTCGTCTGTAAGTGTGTCCGACTTGGCGATGACCGGGATTAGGTTGACCTTGGTATGCAATCTGCGCATGACCTCGACGTCCAAAGGCTTCAATGAGTGGCCGGTTGGCTGAATGAAATACACGCAGGCATGGACGCGGTTGTCCACGATGTTCATGCGGTTGACCTTGTTCTCCGCGTCGAGGTAGGCATCAAAGCGCTGCTCAATGTTCTCGACGATTGGTCTCCACGAGTCATCGTTGTTGACAAAATCACCAAAGCCGGGCGTGTCGACGACAGTCAAGCGCAGGCGCACACCATTCTCTTCGATGTCTGCTGAAATAGACTGTATGCTGACCGTCTTTGGCGCGAAGTCGAGCGACGGCTGCTTGCGCTCCTTCGGTGGGTACAGAGAGGTGTTGAAGAGAGTGTTCACGAGAGTCGACTTTCCAAGGCCAGATTCACCTATGGCGTGGTCAGCGCGCGTGCTCGTGTGCGCACGTCCTTGTGAAATTCTTACCAACGACCATAACGTTGAAGTTGAAGCCTTTTCGCACGCTCTTGCGGTGCCATTGATTGGGCAGATTCGCGAAGCCAACGTATCCTGTGAGCTTCCTGCGCACAATGTTCCTCATGTCGGTGGCCGCTTGCGCCGCGGCCTTGGGATCTTTGGAGGACACCGTCTGCGGCGCTGTGGTGCCTTCGTTAAACATGGCGTTGCTTGATGATACTAGGGGAGAGGCAGGCTTGCCATTGGGTAATGCCGAAGGCGGCTGAGGAGATGTGCGGTTCGGCGCAGCTATCTGACCGTTGGGGGTTGCTGTGAGTTTGGAGTCAGTGCCCGGCACGCCCAAGTCCTTGAGGGTAAGTTCTGCGCGGTCGTGAGAGACGACCCGAGCGAGCGCCGCAGTGCCCGTCGCCAGCGGATGGGGACTGCTGCTGCTGTGGTCGTGGCCGGTGATGGTGCTGCCGCTCTTGCTCTTGCTGCTCGCCCTGGTAGAGACGGACATGGTGCTGCTGTGGTGTTCCGTGCGGCGGCGCGTGCTCGGACGAGACGTGTGCGATGCCGCCGACGGGCGTGCGATTGGGAGAGGTGATGGGAGTGTATGTGATGATGGAGGAGGGAGGAGTTGGCTTACCCATGGCGAGAGCGTCCGGGTTGTTGTGTTGGTCGAGGAGCGTGGAGTGCCTTCTGTGGTGATGCTGCGCTAGAGCAATTGCAGGTGTCAGTCGCGGCAGCTGCGAGATGGAGGTATTGGCGCAGGAGGCGCAGTAGGCGCGGTAGATGGAGTTGGAGTAGGGACGGGGAGGGAAGGGAAGGGGATGGTGGGCGTACAGGGAAATTCTGCTGGCTTCAATGCGACTGAGATGCCGCGTGTCGTTCCACTCGTTCACGACGGCGCCGCGGCTCAAGGGACTGGCAAAGAGGGACAAGAAGTATTAAAACGTAGGGGAGGGAGTAAGAATGCGACGTCGTCAGTCGCCGAGATGCTGGTCGGAGAGCCTGCTTGCTGCCGCTGGCGCTGGGTGAGGCCTAAAAGGGAGGTGCAGCAGAAGACTGAGAAGAGCACGCCGTGCTGCGCTGAGCCAGGTTTAGGGGTTCGCAGGGGTTTCTCGCCGGGCTGCAAAGGCTTGGCCTGTGCCCGTTCCGTGCAAATCTTGCCGTCTCCGCAGCACATTGAATGATTGAGCCTCACAAACTCTCGGCGAACAGCACTTTTCACGACTCCGCAGGCGATCGAGGCACGCAGATTCCATCCGCCTGGAGACACACGCCGCTGTGCCTCGCAGACGCCTCACCTCGCCTCGCAGTGGGCTTTCTGTCGTACAACATCCGCCGCCTGGTACCTGCTTGACCTCCCTGCACACAAGCTACTTCGCTTGGGGAAGCTCCTACCGCCCGCCGCACGCGTCTGTACTCACGGAAAAACGAGGACAGCGTGGTTGCATTGAGCGCGTCAACTCATCAACATCATCATTGTGCCGAGCGGTCACTCCATCTCACGTGCCAGCAGGACAGCATTCCGCAAGGCTGTGGAAGCTTTGTCCAACAAGTGAATGTACATACGAGAGCAATCATGCCTGCAGTGTCAGCGTTGTCACACGCGTTTCACGTACATCCGCGGCCAAGCTTTCGCAATTCAATCTGCATCGGCATTGGCCTTCGACAGAACTCAATGTCCACCACACATCACCATGCATATATCTTCCCACGCTGAAGGCTTTGCGTCCTAAGGATAAGGCGCCTACTTGCTGCTGTGAGTACCTCACACCATCTGAAAGCTTGCTGCGCTGCGCTGCGCTGTGCCGTGGTGAGATGAGAGACTCCTAGCCTTGCAACATGGGAAATGAAGCTCGCCGCGCTATCGACGAATCGGCAAGGCTGCCGCAAGCCTCCGTGGCAGCACCTCTCCAATCACATGCCCGTAAATTCAGGAAGCTAGTCCATTCCCATGAGTGCGAGTGCGAGCGATCTGGAGTATCGACCTTTCTCAGATCTGACATCTCGATATCTACCAATGCTATCATACAGAGACCTGGGTATCATTCCTACACAGCAAGCAAACTTCTCAGTGGACCGCACGCCCAACCCTCAATTGAGCCCGGCTAGTATCCCGCTCAGCTGGCTCTTGTCGTACTTGACGTACTTGCCTTTACCCTTGTCAACCTCATGATATCTCTCCCAGAATCGAGCATAGAGCGGCTCGATGAACATCTGCACATCTCTACCGAGCTGTCGCCGCACCTCTGCCTCCATCTTGAAGCTTTTGTGTCTCTGTACGCAGTCGTCGAAGGATACATTGAAGTTTTTGAACTTCTCCTTGATGGCATCCTTGTCTTTGCTGGATAATGACTTCAGTATAGCCGCAGAGTCGACAGCTGCACCTGTCGAAGGCGGACGAGGCTGTTTCGACGTGTACTGAACGTCCAGCAGGAACCCAGACGGCTCCTTCCACACGTCTAGGTACATTTGCGTTGCTTTCTTCTTCCACCCGTCCACCTTCGGTTGCGCAGAGCCGAGCAGGCTTTGGAGTTCCGAGCCACGTATCATGCGCTCAACGACGGCAATATTGTTGGCGAGGAAGACGCCGCAGTGACTCTTGCTCTTCTGCGCTGCCCTCGCTTTCGCGTCCAGCGAGGACAGGAGAGCTTCGATAGTGTCGGTGCTGTAGTGTGCGAAGAGCTGTTTGCCATCTGCTCCGACATCAAACGACTTCAATGTAGGTACGGTTTGGGCGGAGTTTGCATTGAGAGGATTGTTCCAGCCTCCGTCGCCTACGCTGCGCATGATACTGCTCAAAGGTGCCAGATAGCCAGTCATTAGCTGTAATCTGGCCATGACGTCTGCAGAAATGGGCAAGGCTGCTGCATCAGGCGGGAGCTGCAACATCTGGCTGACTTTGGTCTTGACGTCCTGTATCAGTGTTGACAGTGATGATTTGGCCGTCTCTCGTACAGGCTTCAACGCATCATAGAAAGATTGCTTAAGGTCGTTGGTCGATTTCTCGATGCTGAGCGATGTGTTTGTGACCACGTCGATAATCTCATATGCAAGATAACAGTCCGTGATCAGATGATTTCGTACATGAGCGTCAAGATCTCGAAGCGTGGACTGGAAAGCTCGTAGTGTCTCTGAGCAGGTCGCCTGCAAGACAGAGGCCCATTCATCGCGCTGAAATATGCTGCAGATGTTATCGTATTCCGCCACAATCATGCCTTGGATTCCAGTCGCATAAGTGGTGATAGCACAGCTGCCGGGCTTGTAGACAGCATCTGCAGTGACTTTGCGAGCCGTTGATATGGATGCAGTGGCGAGATTCTGCAGAGACAGAGACATGTACTGTCCCCGCTCGTGTGCATACGCCTTTCCAGCCAGAGTAAGGTCTCCGCCGCCTGCAACCGCTGCTTTTGACACGAACCCAGCCACATTCAAGTTGATCGTCCGAAGCTGCGCTGACTTCGCAGATGCTATCCGCGGAAAGTCCTGTGCTTGGGTGATCTGTTTAAGAGGCTCTATTGGTTGAGAATCCTGCCTAAGCATATCCCGAAACACGCCCTCGAGATTCCCGGAGCCGACAGCAAGTAGTCCACTGAGTTCTGATATTGCGACTTGATTCGATCGCAAATTCGTTTTCTGCAGCTCTTTCAATGCCTGGTTCGTGCGATCCATGCTGGCAATGTACTCCGTCAAACCAACCTTATCCGGTCGACTTCGCAAGATGCGTTCCTCCCTGTTGCGCATATCCAGTGGCTGTTTCACTTTCTCTATTGCCTGCAGAATCTTATCGATGTTCGTGTTCTGAGCTTGGAGTCGTTGGGTGTTACCATAGATGGGCCCGATCGCGTCTTGCACCGTCCTGCCGGTTTCATTGAGGCGCGTCATGGAGCTTTGGATCTTCTTCGACACAGACTTCATCTTCTCCAAGCTGGCGTACAGGACCTCCACTTCAGCGGACTCCTCCGCGAAGGCAGGATGTCTTTGGGCGACCATGTTGACTTGCTGCCTCCGCTTCAGCACACGACGAGTGCCATTTACAGGTCAACCAGCGTGGCTCTACAGCCTTTACACCTCTTGTAGCACTGAGCAGTTCCTACATCAGGTATCTCTGCGAAGTATAGAGAGTGAGATTGTTGGTGTTGTGAAGGTGTCAAGGTCCTGGACTTGGAATGTCGCCAATAATGTCCGTCCTCGAGGCTCGAGCCATGAGCTCGGACTCCGGTGCAGCGCGCCGAGCCGAGCCGAGCCGAGACGAGCCGACCGGACTATTCTATGGAAGCAGATCGCGGTTGCTCAAAGATCGAGGAAGGACACTGTGGCACGGCACGTTTGTCTGGTGAGAGCAGCAATGCAAGATCGAGAGGTCTACAGTCTGCACCAATTGTTCGTCAGCATCCGCATAACTCTGAAGGTCGCCGTCGATGCCGCATCGGGCGATTTGTGGGCGTCGAATAATGAGCATGACCTTTCATGACGCCAGAATTTGCACGCAGCAAAACTTTGAACTCCTGATCCTTGCTTTCTACTTAACTTTAGCGCGTTGGCCTCATCAACGCATTTACCTGATTGAAAACGCCTTCTCCACTCTCAAAGGCACTTTTCCTTCGACTTCGCCCGTTTCTTGGTCTTCCTTTTTGCCCGCCAGTTGGTCAATTGGAGTGCTGATATGCCAGACATCTCGCAACACCATGCAGCGCGTCGCCAGCTCGTTCCGATATAGCAGATATCGAAACATAGCCTACAGCTTTGGCGGCGCATCATCACTTCTCATTGGATATCGTCTATGGCTGGGCCGGAAGCCTGTGCTGTCAGACAGCATTTCCGTTGATGCCCACGACGAAGGAAGTGTCGACACAGATTCCGATGCCCGACTATCCGCTCGTTTTCGAAGAGCCTCAGAGGCGCGTGCTAAAGAGACGAACCCGTCAAACGAGTCCTTAAAAGGTGATGAGCCGCCTCCGCCAAGAGCCAACGGCCACTCTGTATTCGATATAGAAGGCGATTTGGCTGCCACAGCAACTTCTGCTTGGCAGCAGGCGACAAGGTCCATCGATCGTGTTACCGGGAGTCTCACGCAGGATGTTCTGCCCTCATGGGGCGAGCGGTTAACAAGCATATTTGTGCCGACTTGGGCAAAAGCTCTTCCAGGCCTCCTCAACAAGCTGCAGAGTGAGCTTTCAATGGCACCTTGGTCTCTGAGTTGGGAAATCTGGCAAGAAGCAAACGACCCTCAGATCAACCCTGAAATCCTCTGGGACGCGCGAGTTCGTGTCTCGGATCAGCTATGTCTATCAGAGCAAGCTTTCCTGAAGAAAAGGAAGACACAGACTGCGAAAGCTCTTGCTCAGTATCTCGAAGTCGCAGAGAAGGATGTTCATCCGGACGATGTGCCCACGATAGCTATTTGTGGTTCTGGAGGAGGTCTACGAGCGCTGGTAGCAGGGACGTCCTCGTATCTTTCAACATACGAATCCGGCCTGTTCGACTGCGCAACGTATACTGCTGGAGTCAGCGGCAGTTGCTGGTTGCAGTCGCTCTACTACTCGTCGATTGGTAATCTGAGCCATCAGAAGATGATCGATCACCTCAAAGACCGGATCGGCGTTCACATCGCCTTTCCACCTGCTGCTTTGAGTCTCTTGAACCAAGCACCGACCAACAAGTTCCTCCTGAGTGGCTTCGTTGAAAAGCTGAAGGGAGTCCCGGATTCGGATTTTGGCCTCGTGGACGTATATGGATTGCTCCTTGCCGCAAGGCTCATGGTACCACGAGGAGAGTTGACAGTGAGCGACTATGATCTGAAAGTGTCGAACCAGCGATATTACCTCGACGACGGTATGCAGCCACTACCAATATACACGGCAGTGCGCCATGAGATACCCGACCCACCCGAGGACTTTCGCAACATGGCAAAAGAAGCGCGATTCAGTGCAAAGCATTACGACTGGTTTCAGTGGTTTGAATGGACACCCTATGAATTCTTCTGCGAGGAGCTCAAATCTGGAATTCCAACGTGGGCAATGGGGCGCAAGTTCGAAGGCGGTCGCACTGTCTGGCGCGAGAATGGCCTTGCATTGCCTGAACTTAGAGTGCCCCTGATGCTCGGCATATGGGGAAGCGCCTTCTGTGCCACGCTCTCGCATTACTACAAGGAGGTTCGCCCAGTGATCAAAGCAGCTGGCTGGGCCATGCTGGACTCCATCCTATCACAGAAAGATGAGGACCTCGTAAAAGTACATCCTGTCGACCCTGCCGTGATTCCCAACTACACTTTAGGTCTTCGTGATCAACTCCCAGAATCGACGCCAGAAGATATTCATACATCCTCACATCTCCAGCTGATGGACGCCGGCATGTCAAATAATCTACCAATCTACCCTTTGCTGCGTCCAGGACGCAATGTAGACGTTGTCATCGCCTTTGACGCTTCGGCAGACGTCAAAACGGACAACTGGATCAAAGTCGTCGATGGATATGTTCGACAACGAGGGATCAAAGGATGGCCAATGGGGGCTGGTTGGCCTCCAGCGGGAGAGTCGAGTGAAGAGATCAGTGAGGATATGCAACTCGCCGAAGCCGCGACAGTAGCCCATGCCGACCAGACCTTGAAATCCATTCAGGGTGGCCAAACTTCCAACATGGAAGATCTCGGACATTGCACAGTCTGGGTCGGAACAACACAAGAACGAAGCGAGTACATGGAAGACCCACCAACACGACGGCTCAAGCACGACGCATCGGACGACCACCACATTCGCGATCCAGACGCTGGGATAGCTCTCATCTACTTCCCATTCCTCAAGAACGAGAAAGTGCCTGGCGTAGATCCTGTGACATCCGAATTCATGAGCACCTGGAATTTCGTCTACACGCCTGAGCAGATCGACAAAGTGGTCAATCTGGCTCGAGCGAATTTCGAAGAAGGTCAGGCGCAAACAAAACGTGTGATACGCGCGGTCTGGGAAAGGAAGAAGGCGGTTCGGCTACGCAAAGAAAAAGAGGAGAGAGATTTCAGGAGACAGTGGAATGTCAGAAGGGGCAACGCACATTTATGGCGAAACGTAGACCACGGTCAAGGTGATCAATTTAGCGGGATCTAAATCTGCGAGAGGATCGTCTTGCAAGCCATATTCGGAGAAAATTGTGTTTTGATATACCCACGATAGCAATAGAGGAAAAATATGACCTGCACCCTCACCACGAGTCGATTTTATCGTGGAGCTGCACGGGCATACATGCGAACTGCAACATTCTCCTTGGAAGTGGGTGATTTGGGTTCCTGGCTCTCGACTGTGACCTGGGCTTCGGTTCGGCGTTTCTCTAGGCCAGAGGCACTTTGGCTGATGTTCACAGTACGGGATCGGTCTGAGTCTACCGAATCTTGCACATCGTCTGCCCTGCGTTACATGTGGCTCCTCCCTTCCCGACAATCTATGGAAAAGCAGCCTTTGCTCAGGCGTCTTGCCTAACTCTGATGTTGCTTCATAAGACAACGTGGATACAAGCGAAAGATGTCTAGCCTGGGATAAGAGCTCAGATGGTCGCAGTTCCTGGCGAAGTTGGTGCCTACGTTGTTGATGAGGTTTACTTTTGAGCTGCTGGATGGGGAGTGCAAAAAGCATGCTTTGCCTGGATGTGTTCGGCTACGATTGGAGATTTGGGCCGGGATCAGAGAGCCTTGGACTCATGCAAATTGAGGACGTACTGGGAATCTCTTCTTTGTGCATGTAGCCTTCACCGGGCTGTAAATGCGGCATGTATGATACAAACTGGGCCTTTGCTCCGTGTGCGCCATCCACCTCTAGGCAATTATACTATCGCCGCCGCAGGTACCAATTGAATCCAAGCGCCATAGTCTCGTGATGGAAAGGTGTGGGCACTTCTGCCAATCCAGGCCTCGCGACTGGATGCCGCAGGTATACTGCCGAACAAATATTCTGGTTCACCTCCAGGTATCGTGGAATGAAGGCGAACGGGCTCATGAATTCTCGAGGCTCCCAGGGCGTGGCGTATGGTTTGGAGACATCGATTGGATTCGCCCGTGCCCGCTCCAGTGCAGCAGCCAAGAGCTCTGCGTCTTTCCGCGCCCTATATGCGTCCTCCTTGCCGGACTGTGCTTGCGGATTTGAAGATGTTGTTTCAACCGGGCTTCGTTCTGCTTTTGGAAGGGACTCTTGAGGCACTTTGGCCAGAATCTCCGAAAGCGCTGATTCAAAGCTCTCGACCGATTCTTCTGCTTGTTCCTCCTCCATTCCCTTCAGCTTAGCGAATGTGGCTTTGACTTCTTTGGTAAAGCTGCGGAGCTCCTTCAGTCGCTTTCCTGATAACGACTGTTTCGAATCCTCTAAGATGGTCTTGGCTCGCCTTACTAGAGCCTTGAGCTCTTTGCTGTATGCCTGCCCGGCTGCACCTGTGTCCAGCTCATCTTTTGCAGCAGCCTCTATCGTGGCGGCGCCGGCCTTGCTCTCATCTGCTGCCTCTGCCACTTCCGACTTGCTACTCCTCTCTGCTGTCTTGCCCGTGGCTTTCTTCACCGCTGCCTCCTCTCTGAGTACCTCTCGAGTCTCCGCGCGCCTTCTCAGAGCCTGTTCCGACAAGGTGCTATCCTTCTTGGTTTTTCTTGCGCCAGTCGCAAACAGGACTCTCTCAGTATCCACCTGGAACATGTCACCTGGATTCATCTGATATCCAGGATAAATCATCTTCTTGCCATTGACCTTCACAAAGCCATGGACCACAAACTGCCGTGCTTGCGACACACTACTGGCAAATAGTGCCCTGAATATGCACGAATCTAACCGTCTCTCCAGGGGCCAGAATGTCATGTGCATATATGGTGTCTTCTCTATTCTCCTATTTCTGTCTTTTTCATCCCGCGGATCTTTGTCCAAACCCCCACCACGACCACTTGCCATTTCTGATCCATCATGTGCAGCCAGGTATCGATGATCCATGGGCACGACCGCGGGTAATCGTCTGTCGAACATTCGCGTCCATGTGCCTTCCCGGACGAAGGGATTGTGGTACGATCGTAGCATAGACTTGGCGGTCCATTTCTGCTGGAAGAATGTCTTGTTGGCTGCTGGAGGCGTCGTCACTCTTGACAGATTGTAGAGATTCCATTTCGACCAGTCCTGCCGCAATTTCTGCGTCTTCATTAGAACTCAACGAAGGTTATTTTAGCACATTTTGATCTTACAGGTCGCTTGAGCCCATGTATGCGCTTCGTGCGAGGCATTTCAACGAGAGCCTATGATACAGGCATTGGTCGGTGATGGTCCATCCATACGAGTGCTCTCTACCAAAGTTGCGGACCTCTCGGGCGTTGCTTCTGACACGCCGTCTTCCAGCCATGACTTTCGCAGCCGAGACACCTCAAATCTTGGCATGCAGATATGAAGACTCACTCGAGTCACAGCTCTATCCATCATCGAGTGAAGACAATACGAGTCACTTGAAGTGATTGCAGTAGCAATTGATAGCTGTTTTTCGTTGTACATGCCCATTGTCGCCCTCATTTCTGCTATTGTGCGCCGCCAAGCCTCACATGCACAATAGGCATTTGAATGCAATAGCGGGGTTAGCGCATGCATGGCATGGTTAAGCTCGTCGAGTGAGCTTCAGAGAATTTTAAAATCTGACCGCTCGCCAACCACCTCGACATCGAACACAACCTCACTATTGCTCATTCCTCTTCCTCACCAGACATCCTTCTTGACTCAATCTGGATCGCAAGTACTCCCATAAGACATAGCGCTACTCAACCTATTCCACACAACTGAAATCGCACATACACAACCACAGGCGCAATGGCCGACGCTGCTACCGAGCAGCCCACTGAGGCTGTCAAGCCAACCGAGACCAACGGCACTGATAAGAACACTACTGAAGAGAAGGCTACCAACGGCGCAGGCGACGATAAGGCCGTTGAGTCCAAGAGCGAAAAGCCATCCAACACCGACGACCGTGGCGAGCAAGATGAGTTTGGTCGCGATAGGCGTGGTGGAAAACGCGATCGCTCAAATGACCGCTATGGCAGACGCGATCGCAACGACAGAGATCGCAGAGGTGGACGAGGCGGACGAGACTGGCGTGGACGTGGTAGCCGCGGTGGGCGCGGCGGAGGATACCACAACGATCGACACAACGACCGACGCAACAATGTGAGAACCAACTTCACTCGCGAAGAGGAGTCGAGCGACGCCCAAGAGATCCGTCGCCAGGTTGAGTTCTACTTCTCCGACTCCAATTTGCCAATCGACAAGTTCCTGCTCGAAGAGACTGGCGGTCCAGAGAACAAGCCATTTCCACTCAAGACCATCCACAACTTCAAGCGCATGCGTCACTTCCAGCCGTTCAGCGCTATCGTCGAAGCTGTCAAGGGCAGCGATTTCCTGGAGGTCAACGACAAGGATGAGGTCTACCGCAAGGAGCCTCTCGACAAGAAGTTCACTCTTGATGTTCACCGGAACCAGGAACTTCTCACCACTAAGAGCATGAAGAACAGCATCTATGCCAAGGGCTTCGGTGAAGAGAACCGCACTACCGCCTTCGACATCGAAGAGTGAGCCTAGCCTGCGGTCCTTTTACTCTCGCATTAGCTAACACTCTCCCACAGGTTCTTCCAGCCATACGGAGCGGTCAGCGTCCGCCTTCGTCGCCACGAGGACAAGACTTTCAAGGGCTCAGTCTTCGTCGAATTCTCTGACGAGGATTCTGCCAAGCAATTCTTGGAGATGGAAGAGAAGCCCAAGTTCAACGACAAAGAACTCGAGATTATGAGCAAGCAAGCATACGTTGACATGAAATCTCAAGCCATCCTCGAGGGCAAGGTCAAGCCAAAGTCTCCAACACGCAAGGGCTCATACCGTGGTGGACGCGATCGTCGTGGCAGCTTCAACAGCAACTACAAGCGTAAGCGCGACTACGATGACGATGACGACATGGGTGGAGACAACTGGCGCGAACGCCGCGACAAGTTCCAAAAGTCCCAGCGTGGACGAGGCCGTGATCGCGATGGTGGCCGCCGTGGTAGGAATGAGTCTCGTAGTGCTAGCCGTTCGCGTAGCCGCAGTCCATACCGCGATGCCAAGAATGACGAGGCTGAGGAGAAGCCGGACGTCAAAGACGACAAGAAGGATGTTGCTGAGCAAGAGAAGCAAGCTGAGGAGAAGCCGGACGACAAGAAGGACGTTGCTGAGCAAGAGCAGCCAGCTGAGGCTACCGAGGGCGCTAAGGCTGAGGTCGAGGCATGATCTTGACCTCACCTCATCGCGACCTCACAGTCGACGACCCATCAGTTGCATATCAAATCCACGCATGAACTGCATGGCACGGCGTTCCGGCGTTCGAGAGAGGAAAGGCCTGACATGACAAGGCCGAAAAGGTTGGGAGGCCGCTTTTGAGTTGCCCATGCTGCTTGTAAATTATTTACTCACGAATGGTTCAAGGCTCACGGCCGGTGGATACGAATTCTATCTTCCATTGCTTTCTAGTCTCCTCACCATGCTGTTGACCCTCAATTTCCTTGGTCCGCTGATCACACTGTCTGCTCTGCTGCTGCCTCCAGATGTGGGCACAGTGGTGGGCGGTTTCTCTCGGAGTTTGCGGGGTGTACGCTTGCGCTTTCGAGATGAGATGGTAGATTCTGTCAGTGTTGACGAATGATCTGGCCTTGATATTTCGTTCCTGTCGCGAGTGTGCTTAGGCGCACCAGCCTTCACCGTCGATTCACTTTCATTCCCAGTAGCTCTGAAATATCGCTCGGCGCTCCTCGTATGTAATGGCGACAGCTGGTCAGGGTTAGGAGTATATGAGTCTTTGGGCGTTTGCAGGACCGTAGCAGCCGGCCCATAATCGATAGATCCAAGTTTTTTGGAGTCCAATGACCCTGCTCGAATTGGCATCACCCTAGATCCAAAGCCATTCAGCTTGTGAAACTGGCTCTGAGGCGTTCGCTGTCCAGCATTCATTTCCGAAGCTCGCAACTTTCTCGGCGTGCGTTTCTCAGCAGACAATTCTACCAATTCAAGCGACATTCGCTCCTCTCCAGCGCTATTCGAACCTTGCAATCATGAGCGCGCGGTAACTTCATAGTCAAATCGTGCCGTACCTTCTTTTTCTTCTCCATCTGCCTTCTTCACCCGCGTCTTTCCCTTCCCCTGCATCGGACAGCCGGTCGTATCATTATGATCATGATAAGCACAAGCATCACCATGCGTAGGATCATCAAATAAAACCCCTCCAGACAGCTTTCGAATCGCAGAGATCAACTCAATAGCAAAATCAGGATTCCCTTCAAAACAGTCTCGATACGCGTCCAAATCGCGCTCAACATCAGGATCCATAATCTGTCTCGCAGCGATATTGATCACAAGAGCTCGAAACGGACTTCCCAAAGGACTGCGTCTATAGATGTCATTGATCTCGTCGGCATCTGGAACCAGTCGCGACTCGTAAAGACATCTTCGATATACATCCATGGCCAGATTCTTGAGACGTATCATTTCGAATTTTTCGCATAGCAGCCAGAGTTTATGACATGCTACTGCGTATTCGTACTTCTCTGTGTCTGAAGGGATTGCGGAAGCGGGTGCGAGCACACCTTGATAGAGCCATTTTACGAGCAATTCGAAGCCCGCTGGATCATCATCGAGGAGTTCTAGGTGCTGTCTGCCGTCTTTCATGGGTACTTCACGCTGTAGGAACTCCAGTTCGAAGTAGGACGAGTGGTGGCAGAGGAGGTTCTGGTGTATGCTCCAGTGGCGCTTTGAGGGGCCTACGTATATGTCTACTGTTGGCCCGGAGAGTAGCCTTTTATGCATATTCTTAGCTTTTGTGTCTTTTCCTCATTCTAGCTCGCCTTTAATGTTCTTGCTTCTATGCGCCTACAGCTTCAGGAATGGGGGTCGAGGACGTACTCGGCGAATGTCTTCGCGCTGGCACTTGTGATATTTCCGCCTGCCATGCGCCTTGTCGGGAGTATTACAATCGGGCCGTTATCTTCATAGGCGAAGTCTCTCGAATATACTACGGGAGCTGAATACGCAGGCTTATAGCTTGGACTTGGACGTGGCAGATGGTGCTCGTCGCGAGGAAGAGTGTGGTTCAGGGGATCAGTGTCGCCCATGGTACGGGCGTGGTAATATGTACATTCGGACCGAAGCAAGGTGGGAGCCGGCGCATGGCAATGGAATGCTGGGCATTCGAGATCATATTACAGAGGAATGCGGTAGGAGTACAATGCGACTGACTCCGCGACTTCGCGTGACGCGGAGGAGACTCGGCCAAGGAAGCCGTGATCACATCGCGTGCTCGATAGACCTCATTGGAAAATTTTGAGTGACAAAACATGTCTTTGCTGGCCCTGATGCGCTTGAAGGATTGAATTTATTGTACGGATGATTCTGCTCGGCATCGTCTGGAGACCTTGCTGCCGGATGCCGGAAACAGCGTTCGTGGAGTCAGACCGTCAGCGTCATGGACGTCGGACGATACGAGAAGAATCATCTTGATCATACCGCTAGACTGATCAAATCCACGGGCAAACATCGGATCCAGGGCTTACAGCTAGGTCGATGTTCTCGTTCAGCAGCTGGCACGCTTTTCAGACCTCCTTCTTCCCAGCCTATCTGGAGCTCGTAAACACCATCGTCCCTGGACCACAAAGCATTTCGTACTTCGTCCCTCAGCTCCTGCTTCCGATATGCCTCCTGGTCCCGCCATCTATTATCTCTCATAATGGTCTCGCGATCCTTGCAATGCCGGTCATCCTTGGCTCGACCATTCATGCTTGGATTGCGATGAGAGGTGTAGACGTCATCAGTGTTGATACGGTATGGTGGAGCTTCTTCTTCCTGGTATTCAAGGATCCTAGGAAAGACTTCAGAAGACTGGTGATTGACCTTCAAAGCGAGGCGAACGAGCACAGGCAGGATCTGGGCAATGTCGTCAAAGAACCATATCCTTCCAATCTCTGGCCGCGACTTCAATGGGTCTTTGCTTTGCTCGGCAATCGACCTCTGACAAGCTGGGAGATCGGTTTGGCATCTCATGACGCCAACGTGTCTCGGCCATATGTCTCTAGATCTAGGGTGGCCTTCATCAAAGGCATTCTGTATCTGCTCGTGCCCACGGTCGTAATCACCATGCCGTTGGCCCTCCAGCTTAAGGCTCACGATGACTTCTTCTCGAGGCCTGGACAGTCGCTGCTACTACCGTACGGAACTGATGGTGAACCTATGTCATTGATGGTGGACATCATCCAACAAGCCTTGCCCAGAGCAATTCTCCGACCCTGGGTCCTCGCCATGTATCTCTACAGCCTGTTGATGTTGATGTGGTTTCCTCAACACCTTTTGCCAGTTGTTGCCAGCTTCATCGCTGCCTCTCCAAATGCACGTTGGTCACCTCATACATGGCCACGTCCTCATTTCGGTCCCTTCTCTGCTGTTCTGGACGATGGACTGAGAGGCCTGTGGGGACGCTGGTGGCATCAGCAGATGCGGCATGCTATTAGTGAGCCGGGTCGATGGCTTGCGACAAAGCTGCGGCTGAAAAGAGGCGGCTTAGCAAGATATGCTTGCATCTGTGTCAGCGCCTTCACATTGAGCGGAATTACTCATATGGGACTCGTTCCGCCAGAGCCTAGATCTGCAGCAGTCTATGGGCCTTGGGAGCTTATGTTGAGCATCGCTACGTTTTTCTGGATACAACCCATAGGCATCTTGCTCGAGGTCACTATAGTGGAAAGATTCATCACGATGGTTTCTCGACGGCTTGGCTCGGCTCGATTCCTAGAGAGAATCTTGAGACTGCTGTGGGTTTTGCTATTCATGAGCTACTCGTTCACATTCCTGGTCAACCCATTTATCGAACTTGGCTATTGGAAGATTTGGCCACTGTACTTCCTGGGGGAGAATACAAAACGCCTGTTACGCGGTTCGTGGATACCCTGAATGCTTTCTATTATGTTCAGAATGAATGCATGCCACTCCTTTCTGGGACAGTCCTTTGATAAAATACATCTAAATTTCACAATCAAACTTAGGAAAGACCGTCAAACCTTCCCAAAGAGACTTGGCTCAGCTGGTAGGCTGATTCTGCAATGATTACTAGCCAGCAACCTAGAACAGCCATTCATTTTGCTCCCCCTTCAGAACGCGAGACAGGGTACAATGTCCACATCATCAGCCCTTTTGTGCATGCTTTGACGCCACGCCTACATCCATAGAGCATCTACAATTTTGATGATTTATTTGTAGTTTTCGCTGCCTGCCCGAGAGCACGAACTGTTTCTTCTACCATTTCGGAAACAATCTCAGCGGCAGTCTGCCCTGCTTTGTTGACGGAGCCAACTACTATACCAGCCGGTCTGCACAGAACGCATCAGTACTTGGATTGCTGCATCTGATTGTGCTAGACTCACCTCAAAGCCGCTGCATCCTCAATCTCATCCGTGAGCTTCCCAGTCTCGTGCAACTTGTCAAGCTCATGGACGAGTGGGACAATACCTCTAGAGGTCAAGTCCTTTATCTCGGCTTGTCGATTCGTCTCCCAATCATCGAGATATGGGTTTCGGAGAGCACGAAGTGGTCGTCCAGACCAGATGGTGAGTTTCACCAGAGAATCATAGCCTGCATCAATGACCCTGCGATGGTCAGCTCAAGAGGCTCTGACAGGTGAACTCGAACGACATACTGCTTCTTCCAGTTTTCCGGTGCCTTACTCTCCACACTGGGAATGAATCGAGTGCCTACCCAAACACCACTAGCACCCAGGGTCAAAGCAGCAGCTACACTTCGACCATCGTTGATGCCACCCGCCCCAACAAGAACGACTGGCTGACCAGTCAACGGAGAGTTGTATTGCTTACAGATATCCGCACAGGCTGGAATCAAAACCATCGAAGGAATATCTCCTGTATGCCCACCAGCCTCACCACCTTGTGCACATATCATGTCAACGCCAGCTGCGCAAGCCTTATGCACATGTTTTGGATGCCCAATCATATTCATAACAAGCACATTGGCTTTATGAAGCTTTTCAATAGCTGATTTCGGCGGCACACCAACAGCAGAAACGAAAAGCCTCGCGCCACTGTCAATGATGATATCCAATAACTCGTCGAGGTGGCCATGAGTATAGTCATAATTCGTTTTCCTTGCCGAGCCACCGACTTGCGGCAGGAGGATATCGACGCCGAAAGGTGCGTTCTCACAGCCTCGTTTCTTCAATTCTGACTTCAGTTCTGCCAGCATTTCTCGAAGCATTTTCGGTGTGTAGCGGGCTCCGCCAACAGTGCCAAAGCCTCCAGCTGCTGTGACAGCGGCTGCCAGCTCCGGTCCTGCAACTTGGTCCATTCCGGCAAGCATGATCGGATGCTTTACGCCTAGCAGATCGGTCAAGGCTGTGGAAATAGGTCCTTGAGAGGCCATCTTGATTGACACTGTTGGTTGGTAACCGGAGGGACTCAACGCAACCGGAAAATGGAAGACTCTTACGATATTTTGATGCCTCACGGAAGCGGTAAAGCTATTCCCATTGAGAAGGTTCGTATAAGACTATACGAATGTTCTGCCCGTTGATGCTGGATGTTGGATAGAAAGATCTCCGCTTCCTCTCTGCCGAGGTGTCAGCATTTCAGCAGCGATTCACATGCTCGGGCGCTATCGATGGCGGAAGGTCGCGTGTCATTTCTTCTCAATGCAAATGAGTCGAGGATGCGAACAGTGTGGACTCCTGTCCCTGAGAGCCTCCATCAATGTTCAAAAGAGGTTCATCAAGAAAGCGCCCTGGCACTTATACCGAGCCCCAGCTGCCCGCCCGAGCCCCAGTGGATATACTAATGTAGAATCGCGCTGAATGAGATTACGTGCTGTTTCCACCTATTATATATTATATCTATTCTTGGTTGGTGTTGTTAACAGGCGCGGAGCGCGTTACCTAGGAAGTCGCGCCTCGAATTCTACCGTAGACCTAAAATTCGCATTTCTTCCCCCTTTTGTAGTAGATTACTAGTATCTATCGAAAATAGCTGAATCTCTATCGTACGACGAGTTTCTCGATAATGTTATCGCCGGCGGTAGTAGTAACGAGGCGGCGGTAGCGGCGGTAGAAGGCGCGCCTTCGGCGGCGGTAGTTATTAAGTCGTAGGAAGAGGTAGAAATAGAGGTAGAAGGCGCGCCTTCGGCGGTAGTTGTTAAGTCGTAGGAAGAGGTAGAAATAGAGGTAGAAGGCGCGCTCTCGGCGGTAGTTGTCGAGTCGTAGGAAAAGGTTTAATTTATCTCGGAGATACGTATTCGAGGCCGCTCGCGCTTACTATCGCTACCGCGCGAGCGTGTGTCTCTACCTAAATATCGATTAGTCTCTCTAAGGCCGTAGAAGCACCTATTCTCGAAGAAAGCGCTCCCCCGTAGGCTAATGCCTCGCGAAGTCGACTTTATATCGTATATAGCGCTTAAGAAGTATATATAGGAAGAGTTTAGAAAGGTAAAGGGATACGAGTTTAAGGAGTAGAAGCCGCGGAAGAATAGTAAAGGTATCAAATATCGCTATCTCTATATCTGTAGGTGCTTTAGTTAGCCTAATAAAAGGACGTAGAATACGACTCGAAGGAAAATAACAACTAAGAAGATAGGGTTTTAGTTCTACTTCTACGCCGTTGCTATCGACCCTTCTAACCCTTCTAGTAGCTAGACTATCCGCTATTCGAGTAAAGAAGCTTACTGTTACTATAATTATAGACCTAACGACGTTGTTAGCCTTACTGTCTATAGAAGCCGCTTAAGAACGGCTAACTTCCTCGAGTAATTAGAACGGCTTTAGTCCGTACGAATACTAACCTCTAAGATAATAGCCTATTTCCGAGGCCGTAGTGTTATTATTAAACTATAAAACCTATATAATATCTCTTAGCTTCGAAACCTTAACGTACGACGAGAAGCTAATTAGGCCGAGCGGATAGTTAAATTGCTCGAAGAATACGATATCTATAAGGATATTTAAACTAGACCTAATAGCGCTATTAAATCTATAGTAGCTCTTTATCTAGTCTTAATTAAAGCCTTTAAGCGGACACTATATACGCTTATTCTAGATACTACGTATTCGACTAACCTATACAACCTCGAGTTATTAGACATAGTCGCTACTAGACCGTTAAACGACACGATTAAGCTCGGTATTAGCCTTGTCCGTCCGAAGCCTAACAAGGCCGATTTTATATAACTTCTTATATCTATTAAACAAGCCTTTAAAGCCGCTAGTTGCGCTATGCTAATTGTTATCGGTACTAACCGTAAAGAGGCTTTAATGCTAGCTTGTTAAGAGATATTTCCTAGTTCTAAGAATATCGTTTGTAACTAGCATCTATAGTATTACGAATCTAATTAGTTAGAGTCCTTATATAATCTTAGAGCGACGCTAAGACTAGTAGGCTAAGCTATTGCTCTATCTTACTAGGAGCGATAGGAGCGGTCGAAAGCGATAGCGTCGCTTACGTCGCTTACGACTATAGACAAGATATCTCCTTTGTATTTAGGAACGCCGGAATGCCCTTATAGCTCGAGGCGTTTAACTTATATTACCTACTTACTAATTAGAATTACCTTTATACTAATTATTCTATCTCTACTTTCCGCTTGTATTAGCCTCTCTAAAGAAGCCTCGGCTTATACGTAATAAGAAGTTACTTAACGATCTGTCGCGAGTAACCGTAACACTTTAAACGCTCTTAGGATAAGTGCCTTATTATAAGTCGGAAGGGGAACTCCCGCCCCTAGCGAGATAGGCAGTACTCGACGTACTACCTCTAGTGCTAGCAATACACTAGGAACCTATACTAGAAACGATTCTCTTAAGATCGGAAAGCTAGACTTTTATTACGGCGACCGAGACAAGTTCGATACCTAGGTTAGCTAGATAGATATGTATTTTATATTTAACTAGGTTTAAGATAACTTAAAGCTAGTCTTCGCAACGACGTTTATACGAGGCAGGGCTTAGTATTAGGTTAAACTATTTCTTAAGACCTATCTAGATAGCAACGGGACCGACAATTCGGATAGAATCTTCGCAAGCTACGAAAATCTTAAGCGTACGATAAAGAAGGTCTTTAGATCTTCTAACGAAGTTGCTACCGCAGTTAGGGTTATCTAACACTTAACTTAGAAAAGGTTATATACCGATTATGCCGCTAAATTTTAGGAATACGCCTAACTTACGGATTAGGACGACGAAGCTCTTATAACAATATATCGGCGAGGTCTTAAGGATAACGTTAAAGACGAGCTTATATACGACGGTAGAAAAATAGATAATATAGGAACATTAGTTAAGGTTACGATCGATCTCGACGATAGGCTCTACGAACGAGCTTTAGAACGACGTTACGATTCTAAGACTTCTAGAAAAGCTAGTTATACTCCTAGATACGATAATAGACAAAACTATAGTATCTACGATAAACTAAAGGGGAACAACTACTATAGTGCGCAACTAATAGAGCTAGACGCTACCTAGAAGGGTCGAGCAATTAAAGGAAGAAAAGGCAAGAGTTCGCCTAAGAAAGTAGGAAGATTAACTTACTATACGTATAGTAAGGAAGGCTATATAGTACGGAACTGCCGCGGCAAGAATATAGTACGACGCGAACAGTTTAATATAATATAACGAAAGGACTCGGGTAGAGAAGGCTACCGAATAGTAGTAGAGCTATACTCTATTAATAACGCGCCGAGGACCTACGTAGAGGTCGTAAAGAAAGAGCTACGACAAATCTGTATAATAGTACGACGACAAGAACCTATATATAGAACCCTTTACTAGAGATTCTGTTACGACGACTAATACTAAATTCATTATTCTACTAAAGTAGAAGCAGGATTCTTCCCTTAGATTAAGCGACTCGTACGAGAAGATACGAAATCCTAGTTAGAAGAAGAAACGATTAATAAATCTTGCTTAGATACCGACGATAAAGAAAACCGAGATCTAGAAGCTTTATTCCCTCCTAGGGAGGAGTTAGGAGCTATCCTAGAAGTACCGGAGTCCCCTTAGCAAGAGGAGGAATAGTAAGAAGATTTAGAAGGAAGTTTAGATACCGAGGAAGAAACTACGAATAAAGAAAGTAAAGACGAATTCGGGATTAACGACGATACGATCCTTACGTTTACAATAGATATACCTATAGCAGCGCGAACAATCGCCTTATATCTAGTACGCAAATACGAGGAAATGTTTCTAAAGGTTAATAGATAACGGAAGGTCGATCCTATCTAATTTAATTATTTCTAGATAAGCTTACGGGCAAAATTCTAGAATTACCCTCGGATACCTATAGACTATACGTACTATAACTTTATTACGGAGCGAGTACCGATAGGAAGTATAATTACGCCCTATAGATACGTCCTATCTAACGAAAGGACGATTATTACTTAAGATATACGTTAGACGGTCTAGCGATTAAATTAGCAATACTAAAAGGCTATAGCAGCGTAGGGACGGGATATATATAACGATACCCTCGAGGAAAAATTATATACCGAAGAAGCACGAACGGTAGGACTACGGATCCGTAACTAGTTAGAACAACGTTAGGCTACTAATTAGTCGGGAAACGGACTAACTCTCTAGATTAGAGCGTTCTAAGAGAGTTCCTTAATACCGAAAGCGCTTAAGCATTAATAGTAGTCTTCCGTATAAAAGTTATCGTTAACGGGCACCCGACGAGTGCATTAATAGATTCCGGAGCGAGCGGGAACTTTGCCTCCGAATTATTCGTTAAAAGCCGAGGGATCGTAACCCGAAGCAGAAGAGAAGGAGCGTATAAACTTATAGTAGTAGATAGGTTACCGCTACCTAGTATAGAACGAGAAACGATACCGTTACTACTAGTTATCTAATAGCACTACGAGGAGATTGTCTTAGATATTACTAATATAGCTAGTTATAACATTGTACTAGGTATACCTTAGTTAAGAAAGCATAACCTAGTTGTAGACTAGAGAAGAGGAGTACTTACATTTAAGGAATGCGACTATATAATCGGCATTCAACCTATATAGCGGCAGCGTTCGTAGGCAGATAAGATTAACAAACGTAGAACGACTCGTAAGACGTTTACGTCGATAGGAATTACGGAGAACCGTATTCAACCCGGATCGATACTACCGTTAGGTTAGGAGGGTTATAATAATAATTACGGGAAGGATAGAAGTTATACGCTATCGAAGAATAAAACTAGAATCTCGGACCTAGACATTCCTAAAGAGTATAGTAAGTAGAAGCGACTCTTTAAAGAGGAGAGAGGCAAGGCAGCCTTACCTAAATACTAACTATAGGATTATAAGATATACTTACAGCCTAGGAAAGAGCCTCTATAGGGACCCTTATACGCAATATCTAAGAAAGAGCTTAAAACCCTAGACAAGTAGCTAAAAGAGAAATTAGAAAAAGGCTAGATACGGAAGTCGATATCCTCGGCAGCCTTACTAGTAATATTCGTTCCGAAAGCCGGATTAGACGAAGGACGGCTAGTAGTCGACTTTAGACGACTTAACGACATTATAATTAAGAATCGGTACCTACTACCGAACATCGAAGAAATGCAAGACCGATTAACTAGATTAGACTAGTATACGAAGATTAACCTACGCGATACGTTTTACGCAATACGTATAGCAGCTAGATACGAATAGATAATAGCATTCCGAACAAGATATAGGCTTTACGAATTCTTAGTTATACCTATAGGACTTACAAATGCCCTAGCGTTATATTAAGACCTTATAAACGAAGTCCTCCGAGACCTTCTAGACGTATACGTTATCGCATATATAGACGATATCTTAGTCTATACTAAGGGAGCTCTCGCGGACTATATACGAATAGTATAGGACGTCTTTAAACGATTTACTTAAGTAGGATTTAAGACTGTACCTAAGA